AACCCTAACCCTAACCCTAACCCTAACCCTAACCCTAACCCTAACCCTAACCCTAACCCTAACCCTAACCCTAACCCTAACCCTAACCCTAAACCCTAACCCTAACCCTAACCCTAACCCTAACCCTAAATTCATACCACGCACACGCCGTAATTTGCTTGCATTACATGCTTTTATATTTTTAATTTAAATAGCGGTAGCATTGCGCCGTGGTTAACTTGGGGTTAAAAGGTTGGCATTAATATGCTAACCTATCCTATCGAAAATAATCCTTTTGCAAATTCATTGCGCTTTTTAAGCTTGCAATTTGGAACAACGCCGTTACCTTTTTTTTGTTACCTTTCTTTTTCCATAACGAAACGGTAACCCGTTCGATATTTCCATGCGGGTTTTCGGCGCTAAATGCTTTTATTAGCTTTAACCAATATTCCGCCTTGCCTTTATCGTTAAAAAAAGGTTGGAATTTGCTGGTTGGTAAGCCCGTTATTATTAAAGCTATCGTTGGTTTGGTAACTTTTAAACCGTCCGTTTGTTCGGTTGTATCCTAAGCCGCAAAGGGCGCGTACCACGTCCGTAGCCGGTTCGTTGCGGCGGGGTTGCCGTGGCTATCCGCAACCCTTTTTATGTTTTCGTTTGTATCGTTCGTTCCCGGCCCGGGCCGGCATTTTTTTTCCGTTCGTTAGCGGGTACTAGCATTTCGGAAATGCAAACGAACGTTTCTTAACGGGTGCTAATAAACCGTTTCGACCCAGCCTTTACTTAGCTCTTTATTGCAAATCCGCTTAATTTTTTCGGGTTTTATTTTTTTAATTCTTTTACTTTCGGTAACAATAAAAATTTTATCGTCGATTGTAAATGCTATCGCTTTTTTGGCTTTTATCGCTTGGGGTGCTTTGGAAGCGGTTTGCGCTTTTGCGGCTATTTAAGCCCAAATTTATTTTTTACCTTTTCCGTTTGCGGCCGTAGCTTGCTGCGCTTGGTCCTTTTTCTTTAATATAGTTTTAATTTGCTCGAAGGATTAAAGGATCGTTTGGGTCGCGTCGGGGTCGATCGCTGGGGTTATCGAGGTCGCGGTCGTTTGGTTAGTATTAAAAGCACGGGCGAAACCGCCCGGCAAAAAGCGGGGAGCGTTAAATGCACGGGCGAAACCGCCCGGCAAAAAAGGAAGAAGGGGGCGCTAGCAGCTAGCCGGGCACGGACCCCCCGGGAACATGCCGGCGAGTTACCGGTATTGCGGCCAAAATATAATAGCGAAGCTAAAAGATAAAGTAAAGCTTAAATTGTACGAAAGCGCTTGGAGCGCGAAGGATTTAAAGGACCGACCCCGGGTGCCCAAAAGGGCACGAAAAAAAAAGGTTAAAAAAACAATTTTTGTTAGCGATAGCACTTTTAGTAAAAGATTTACGGAAATTTAATAAAAGAAATACCGCATTCGGCCCGTAACCCGGTAATTACCCGCTTTTGTACCAATTAACCTTTAACATATTGTTCCTTTTTTTATACCTTTTTTATTTAAGGAGCAGGCCCGGGTAATTACCGAAAGGGATCGAGCAAATTTAAAAAGGGCATTTGCGACCTCGCACCGTTTATAATAACGCCCGACGCCACGTCGAGCACGTCGGAAAAAGCCGTTGGGCTACCGGAACAAAACATTAAAAAAGCCCCGCAAATTTCCAACAATTTCGAAAACCTTTTCGTAAAAAAATTGCAAAAAATAAACAACGGGCTAAAAGCTTAAAGCAAACGCGCCCGCTTAATCCAAAAAAATCCAAAACAAAAGGTCGAAGCATGCGCATAAAAGCTTAAACGAAAATAAAAAAAATACTTTTAAATAACGAAAAGGTTTTACGTAAAGCAAAATTACTTTTAAGCCTTTTATGTTTAAAAAATTGGCAATTTGGCAAAATATCGCCCATTATATTAGCAATTACGAATTTATTTTCGAAAACGAAAAGGAACGTTACGGTAAGGACCGTATAAAGGTCCAAATAACCTTTAGCACTTTCGACCATCGTCGGCGGGCATAATGAACAAAATACAAGCAAATGCACTATTTAAATACCGGGGTATCGTTTATTTAGGCCGATTTTTTGCGATGGCTTTAAGCAAGGTCGAAAAACCCCAATTCGCGAATATGGCTAGCAATTAAAAAGTTCGCGGGGGATACCGCTATTAAGCAAAAGGATTACGAATCGTTTAAAGCGTTTCGAATTCGCTAAAATTTAGTAAAGGACGACCTTTCCGAATTAGCACCCAAATGGATAAGGACGACATTGCTTTTTAACCGGCTCCGCCCCAAAATCCAAAAACAAATAATATTTGGAAGCCTTTTTTATACCATAAAAAAATTGCAAGCCAAAACTTTTAAAGCAAAAATAATATCGGGACCGCATAAAAGGACCCCGGGGGACATAAGTATTTTAGCCCCCAAAAAGCTGGTTATTTGCTTTAAGTACGGGCAGCTAAACCATATCGCTGCAGCATGCAAAATACGAACGGATAACCCGGAAACCCCGTTAGCCTTAGCGATTACATAAAAAGCGAAAGGGAAAAAGCTTAAAGTACGGTGTTACGGGTATGGGGAACTGGGCCATATCCGGCTAGCGTGCTTTAAAAAAAGCAAAATATCGCTACCCAATTTAACACCGCTATTTGGCCGTTTAAATACCGGGGCCTAAAAGTGCGCCCCGGCGGCCAAAACACGCTAAAAAACCGAAATGTATTTACGGATTAACGGTCGTTGGGTAAAATTAAAAGCGCTGGTTAACAATAAGAACGACGTTAACTTATTGCATAGCCGTTTTTTGGTAAAAGCAAAAAAAATACCGGTGCTAAACGGGGGTTATTTAGCGTAGCTCGATATTAAAAAACGCATGCTTACGCTAAAAGTAAAGGAATATAAAATTCGGGTAACGGATAGCTAAAAAATAACCCGAAAATTAATAATATTTTACGTAATGGTACCCCGGGCCGGGTACGACATTACGTTAAGCATGCTTTGGTTTTAGCAAAAGGATATTAGGATTCGGTTTGGGGATATAAAGTAAAGGTTTCCGGTAACCATTAAAAAGGTTAAAATAATTTCGTTGGAAATAGCCAAAAAGTTAATCCAATTGGAATAAGCAATAGCCGTACTAACGGTTGCACGTTCGAAAACCCCGGAAAACCCCGGGAAAAGGTTAAAAGCTTTCCCGGAATGGGTTAAAAGGATAATTGCAAAATATGCGCAGCTTTATAAATTAAACCTTTTGCTAAAACATACAAGTTAAAACCACGCAATCGAATTGGAAAAAAAAACGATGCCGCTTTACAAAAACATTTATTTTTTATCCGAAAAGGAATTAAAAACTTTACGGGGGTACTTCGATAAAGCCATAACGAAAGGTTGGATCCGGCATTTAACCAGCCCCGCCGGCGCCGGAATTTTATTCGTTTTAAAAAAGGACGGGAAGCTTCGCTTTTGTATTAATTATCGGGGTTTTAACAAAATTACCAGAAAAAACCGGTTGGCATTCCCGCTAATTTACGAAATATTTAACCGGGTATTTAAAAGCTAGTACTTTACCAAGCTGGATTTAAAAAACGCTTATTACAAAATACGAATTCGATAAAAAAACGAATAAAAAATTGCTTTTCGCTGCAAGTATGGATATTACGAATACTTGGTAATGCCTTTCGGTTTGGCCAACGCCCTAACAACGTTTTAAAGCTTTATTAATATAGCGTTTGGGGAATTAATTAATAGCAATTGCATTGTGTATTTAAACGATATTTTTATTTTTTCGAAAATACAGGAAAAGCACCGCGAAGCAATAAAAACGGTGCTAAAACGATTCGAACGGTTTAAATTTTACGTTAACCCGGCTAAATGCAAATTCGAAACGGATAGTATTAATTTTTTAAGGTTTAAAATAATTAAATTCGGGGTCGAAATTTTGCCGGATAAGGTTGCTGCGATTTTAAAGTGGAGGATACCGGAAAGCGTTAAGGACATCCAGGTATTTTTGGGCTTTACGGGGTATTATTGGAAATTCGTAAAAGGTTACGCGAAAATTACTATGCTTTTAACGGACCTTTTTAGCAAAAATACCGTATTTTATTTGGAAAGTGTTGCAAAAAAGGCTTTTTGCAAATTAAAATTATTATTTACGAAAGTTCCGGTATTAATGCATTTCGACCTTTCGAAGCCGTTGTGCGTGCGGACCAACGCTTTGGCTTTTGCGATAAAGGCGGTGCTGTTATAACTGCAAGACGGCCGGTAGCACCCGGTAACTTACATGTTAAAAAAGTTACAATAAAAAAAGCTGCGCTATGCAATCCTTAATTTAAAATTGCTGGCGATCGTAAAAGCTTTCGAAAAATGGCGGTATTATTTAGCTTATTTACAAAAAATTGTTAAAATAATTACCGACCATTTAAACCATACTTATATTTTAATAAAAAAAAAGGTAATAAAGCGCTAAGCAAAGTGGTTCGAGGATTTAGCAAAATACGATTTTACGATTAAATGGAAGCCAAAATACCGGAACCCCGCGAATGGTTTGTTAAAACGTTTTTAAAATATACCAATGGATGGGGAAGCCAATATAGCAAAAAAAAAATTCCGAAACGATTTGCTAGCTAAATTCCGAAAAGCAACTTACGTAAGGACGACCATTATTAAAAGGAACATTAAAACGATATTAAAGCGTATCCTTAAAGCATAAGCAAAGGACGATTTCGTTTAAAGCGGCATTTAAAAAAACAAGCCCAACGTTTGGAAAATTAATAACGGTTTGCTTAAGCACAAAAAAAAAGTTTGGGTTCCGAATTTAGCACCGCTTAAACGAACAATGCTTTGGGAATAATACAATAACCCAACGGGGGGTTACAAAAGCATGGCCAAAACTTTAAAAAAGTTTAAACGGCAGTTTAAATGGCCGGGTATAGCTAAAAACGTACGCAAATACGTGCGGACGTATTAAATATACCAATAAATAAAATTAAGGACATAAGCACCTTACGGGCTGCTAGCACTTTTGCCCGTACCAAACCGCCCGGGACAAAAGCTATCAATGGATTTTATCGGAAAGTTTCCAACGTTAATGGATAAAGCCGGCAAAAAGCGCAACGCAATATTGGTAATGGTTAACCGGTTTACCAAATATAGCTTTTTTATCCCGACATTTACGAAATTAACCAATAAAAAATTAAAAAGCTTTTTATTTGTATACGTTTAAAGGCTATTAAAAACGCCTAAAAGAATTGTATCGAACCGGAACAAATTGTTTACAAGCGGGTTTTGGACAACCTTTACCAAACACCTAAAGGTTGCAAAAAGGCTATCGATAGCATACCACTTTTAAACCGACGGGCAAACGGAACGAACGAACCAAGCAATAAAGCATTACTTCCGGTATTTTTGCTGCGAAAAGCAAAACGATTGGGCGTTGTTATTGTACCTAGCAGCGTAAGTGCACAATACGAGCGTGCATTTGGGGTTGCAAAAAACCCCGGCGTTTTTGCTAATGGGGTTTTACTTACAAAGGCTTTATAACCTTCGGGTAGTTAAAAAAAAACCTTTGGCAACGGTTAAAGTTAAAGCGGGGGCTTTGGAAGCAATTAAGAAGCAAGCCAAAAAATTGCTAAAAAAAGCGAATAATATGTACAAAAAGTATTATAATAAGGGCAGGACCCCGGTGCTTTTCGGGGTAAGCGATTGGGTATTGCTAAATACGGCGAATATTAAAATAAAAAGGCCGTCGAAAAAGCTATTAAACAAATGGTTAGGACCTTTTTAGGTTTTAAAAATGGTTAGGTTAACCGGTTTGGCGTTCCGGTTAAAGCTTTCGGTAAATTACCGGATACATAACGTGTTCCCGGCAAATTTATTGCGGGCGTTTAAAAAAAAGCCTAGCAAAAAACCAAAAAATAAAAAACCAAAAATCGAAAAAAAAAAAGGATCGCTTTAAAGTAAAGGCCTTGTTAAAATATAAAAAGCTTTTGCGGAAACGAAAATATTTAATTAAATGGATAAGTTACAACAAATCGAAAAATTCGTAAATCCCAAAAAAGGATATTACGAAAGAAATTATTTAAACGTATAAAGCAAACTTATTAAAAGCGAACTTATAGGATAAGGAAAACACCGAACCCTAACGGGTAAATACCCGGAAAGGACGGGGGTATTACAGGAAAGGAATAATAAAGGCCAAAGGAATGGCCTAAAAAAATGTTTTAACGTGCCAAACCGGCTAGCCACCGAGGAAAAACGTAAAAAAACCCGTAAACGGCTTATAATAACCGTAAAATATCGTACCTTATAAATAAAAAGTTAAGTAAGGACGGTATAGTACGGGAAACGCTTTAAATTAATGGTGCGACATACTTAAATTCCAAAAAACATACAAGGTATAGCACATTTCGGAAAGCCCGTAAAAGGCATGCTTGGCGCAATACGCTAAAGCAATTACCGCACTTTAAACGTACGTTGTGGTAAAAAATACTATTGTTTGCCCGAAAAGGAAATGGAAAAACTTCCAAATGGTACGGCGAACGGGCTTAAGCGTTTGGGTAGCGGCAAATGCATGTTGGCGGTATTTAAACCCATTGGGGGGTAAAAAAAAAGCATTTTAAAACTATTTATTAAGGCATTAAAACCTAGCTGGTATATATATATATAGATTTATTTACCCCGTTCGAGCTGTATAGCACATGGGGAGCACTACGGATCGGGTTAACTACATAAAGGAGGAAACCGTGCCTTCAACCGATAGCTGTTTGGTATAAGGCTGGATAAAAACCCCTTCCCTTCGAAGGCTTTGCAACTGCGCGTCTTTTTCGTAAGTGAAGATCCTGCACATAAAGTTACATTAGTAATTAAAAAGGCACGAACACGAGCGTGCATAGGAGGCGCGCTACAACCCACGCGCTACGATCCCAAGTAGCACATTACGATCCGGGTTTTATTTGCGAGGTCCAAACGACCGAATTAGCAATATTTTATCTTACCATAAAGCTTATTCGTCGATTGTTAGGTTCCACCTTTTCCAGCCAAGGCGTATTCCCTTTGTTTTCCGGGCCAGGCGCGCCCTTTCGAAGGCGGTCCTTTCCTTTTTTTTTAATTAGTGCTATTATTTTATCGGCCGACTTTGTTATCGGAGTTGCTTTCGTCGCTATCGGTACCTTTATCTTTTGCCGCAACCCCGGCGCTACTATTTCGATAGCCGGTTGGATTTATTTTGGCCCGAAGTCCTTATTTTTTTGCTTGCCCTATAACCTGTGCGTTTACAGGCTGCACGTGCCCTAAAAGGGCCTTTTGCTTAAACCTTTGGCACGTGCGTTACAGGGCTCGGGGGTAGGGAACCCCGCTAACGGGTCGCAAATGGCTTCGCTAGAGTCGAAGGGAAGTTGCACGTGGGTGCCATAAGGCTCGTCGATAAGGATAAAGTCTTTTGTTGCTGTGGGCTTTTTTTGTTGTGGGGACCAACTGTTCGGAAAAACGTTGGAACGGTTTAGGGCTTAATAAATCGCTTTTTTGCACGTGCGAAACAAAAAACCCGGTGTCCCCGGCAGGAATCGAACCTACGTCCTCCAAAAAGGACCTCCCAGCGCTAAACCACTGCGCCACGAGGACAAACCTAGCTGGTAATTAAAAACATTGGGACTTTGCAATGCTATAAAGGCAGTATAACGAAAGGAAATTATGGTTTTAGCTATAACAAATTAACGAAAAAGATTTAAAATTAACCACTTTTTAAAAAGGGAATACCAATAATTAATTAGGAAAATATGTAAAAAAGATTAATTAAATGCCGTATTTAAAGGAACCAAAACCTTTAAAAATTACGTTTTTTTCGTTAGCGTTACAATCGTTGCCGCTAAAATCGTTGGCGCCAAAAGCGGTACCTCCCGGCGCCAATACGAACGCCGCACCCTTACGGGGAACCGCGCGGCTGTAAGCCTGGGTATCCAAATGCGCCGCAATTGTAATAAGGCTAGCGGCAATGCTACCAAAAGAAATAACCATACCTTTTTCGAAACGCTTAAAAAACGCTTTTACTTTGTTAAAAAAATTACCGATGCCAATCGAAGCTTAAGCTTGTTTTTTCGTTTAAATGGCAATGGCGTAAAGCTATTGGGAAATGTTTTGGGTAGCTTTTAATGTTGTAGCGTTGGCAATTTTGCGCTGGATGCGCTTTTGGATAACGGTTTAACGTTCGTAGCGCGCAAATTGTTTGGCCGATATGGTATAAAAGGATTTAGCTTTTTGGATGGCCTTACGGGCGCGAAATTGGGCTTTAATAAGCTTTTCGAAAAGTTTCGGTATCGTTTTGGGCAATCGTTTGTAAACGGTATTTAAAATTTTGTAAAGGTTTTGGGCCATTTCCCAAAACCATTTAAAAAGCTTAACGCAAGCTTTATTACCGACCACGTTTTTGCAATAAATACATTTGGAAAACCCCGTACAATTATCGGAGCATATCGGTACATAAAGGTTAACGGCATAGTTTTAATATGCTTAACGACCAAAACAACGGCTACAAAATACCGTACGCTCCGTATAATTATTTTTAAAAAAAGGCAAATAAATAAGGTTTTAATTATCGTTTTATTAAAAATCGATAACTTTCCGCGACGGGAGCGCGTTGCGGATATTTATATAAAGCAAAAAAAAGGCAATGTCCGTTTTAAAAGCAAATCCATTAAAATTAAAAGCGTTGCGGCGGCGTTCGTTGCGCGCTTTACGCTTTTTTTCGGCGGAAATCTTTTTACCGCGGCGGTTAAAGCCCGCTAAAAGGTTACCGGCAAAACGTTTGCGGAAATTTTAAAAGGTTGCAAGCGCAAAAGGGCCCGATGGACCCGTAACATTTAAAAAGCTTACCGGAAGGTTACCGGCAAAGCAATCGTTAAGGATTTAAAGGATTAAAGGTTTCGGCGAAACCGAATCCGAATTCGATTAAACCACGATAATTGGGAAAAATACCGGGGGGTCGCTAAAAGGGGCCAACGGGCCGGTTGGAACCGAAAAACCCAAAACGAACACCCGAAAAAATACCACTTTTTTTACGTAATTAAATACGAAAAATAACATTTGCAGCTACCGGTTAGGTTTAAATATCCAAAAGGAACGGCTAAATACCAATTATTTACGGTTACAATCGTTAAGGTTATTGGAATGGTTATTAAATGCACAAAAAGGAAAAAAAAGGGTTCGTAGCTTCGAACGGGAAAAAAAGCCTTTTATATGCCGGCACGAACCCATTTTTCCAAATGCTACAAAGCTTTATAACCGGTTTCCCCAAACGTTACCGGGCATTAAAGCGGCTTAGCGGGATACCGTAAGCTACCGGCTACTTACGGGGTCGCACGCGCGGTATAAACGGCTTGGGACAAACCGTATCGGGAAAAAGCAATATGTTAAAAGCACGGGCGAAACCGCCCGGCAAAAAGCGGGAAGCGTTAAATGTACGGGCGAAACCGCCCGGCAAAAAAAAAAAAAGGGCGCTGGCAGCCAGCCGGGCACGAACCCCCCGGGAACATGCCGGCAAGTTACCGATATCGCGGCCAAAGCATAATAACAAAGTTAAAAAATAGGATAAAGCTTAAATTGCACGAAAGCGCTTAAAGCGCGGAAGATTTAAAAAACCGACCCCGGGTGCCCGAAAGGGCACGAAGGAAGGGGAAGTTAAAAAAGGAACAATTTTTGTTAGCGATAGCACCTTTGGTAAAAGATTTACGGAGGCTTAACAAAGGAAACACCGCATCCAGCCCGTAACCCGGTAACCACCCGCCTTTGCACCGATTAACCCTTAACAATCGGTCGCTTCGACGTATCGAACGAATTCCGCGATAATTTCGGCGGCTGTAATTTTTCTTTTTTTTTATTAAACAATTGGATGTACTTTTTTGCAAATTGCATTGTTGCAATAATTAATTGGGTTTTTTCCGGTTTGCGGTTGGTTTTTGTCGTAATTGTTGCTGGTTTGGGTAATTCCCGTCGCGTATTGCGTGCTTCGATTGGTTAAAGCCAATGGCCTTTTCCATCGACGCCGCGACGGCGCCTCGGGGTATTATCAAGCTTGCTTAACCTTTAGGCAAATTAGCGTTTCCGGTTTTCGTAATGGCTTTAATTTTTTTGTATGTCGTCGTCGTCGTTGCGCGCAAGCAGAAAACGTTTTTTTTTAAAAAAATTTGCAAAAAGCATTAATTTAAATTTAAAACGTATTAAAACGCGCGGGTTAAAATGCTTTACATTGCCCCATAATTGTAACCCATTTTAAAAAATGAACCTTTTTTTTTAATATTTTCAGGTATATAAACTTTGGATTGTAAAGGAATTACTCGATTGTTTTTAACTATAGCTTTGCATTTTATACCTTTATAAAACTACCTAGCCATTTTTACAATTTATTTAGTTAATTTTACAAGCTAATTATGCTTCCGCGTATTATTGCGCGTGGCGCGATGGTACGGCACGTCCTTTTGGGCAATTTCGCTTGTATAAAGACGTTGCGCACCGTTATTAGCAAATTGCGGAATTGTAATTGCGGCAATAACGGCGGTTTTTCCCGGCTTATTAACGGCGTATATTGTATCGATTAAAACGAAAGCTTTAAATGGAACGTTGGTACCGGTTCGTTAAATAATAAATACCGTTCCATATTATACCGCGGTTATTACAATAGCAAATGTATTAAAATAAATTTGGTTAATTAAAATGTTATTGGCATTGCTAACGTTAATTTATGCAGTCGCTATTGCATATAAAAAAAAATTATGCCGATTTCGAGCAATTGGTTATTACTTACGTACTTTTTTTTAAATACGGTTAAAACCCGCCCTTTCCTTTTAAATGCAAAACTAGCAAAAACGGTTACGCTTTAACCGTTAGCATTTGCAAAAGGGCAAATTGCATGTTGGGCTAGCTTTTGCGCGGATTTGAAGCTGCTAACGCCGTCGAACGTAGCTTTTACAAGTTAAACGTTAACGATATAAACAATAACGAATACGATATTCGTTTAGCGCAAATAAGCATATAATTAGGATTTTTAAAGGTTGGATTTGGTTAACAATAAGCTAAAAAGCTAAGTTTGCTAAGGAAACGCTTGCGCGGGCCGAAAAGGCTAGCAAAGCGGCGGGCATTAAACTTTGCCGTTTTTTTTATTGGTTTATAGCTTAGCAAAACAAAGCAATGGTAAAGCTTTTGCTTAGCAACGGTAATTACGCAATTTAAAACGCTGCTAAAACGATTTATACGAACGAATATTACGCGTTTGTATTCGAAATTTAACGCAAAATATGCATCGATTATTGCAATTAGTAAAACAACGTTTAATATTCGAAAAAACGTTGGCGTTTTTATGCTTGGGCAAAAAAAACCCTGGATAAATTCTTTACGGCAAAGTTTTATAATTGGCCTTTTATTTTTGCTTTCGAAAAAAACCAAATATGGAAATATATTAACGCGTTAAATTATAGCAATTACCCGTTTAATTCCATTTTCGATAGTAACGAAAAGGATAACAATAAGTAATTAAGCACGGGGTTAAACCGTTTATTTTTAAATTGGAAATGGAATTTGCTAACGTGCGTTTAGCGGTTAGTTAAAGTATTTTGTTTTTTAAGCTAAATAATTATTAGTTTTTACAAATTCGCGTTGTTAATTAATTTTTGCAATTGGCTAAATAAAAAGTTAGCGTAAAGCAAAGCACGGTTTTCGGCAAGTTATGCGGTACTTTAAGCATTTAATACATTTTTTATGGGATAGTGCTAAAAATAAGCGAAAAAAATAAAGAAAAATGATAAAAAAAGAACGCAACGTGTTAGTATAAACCAACCGGTTTTAAATTTAAAAAAAATTCGGAAATAAATTATATATCCAAACTTGTTTACATTTGCTAAAATGGCCCCAATCGGCTTTTATATTCGGAGCCGTTTTTTAAACTGGTCGAAACCTAAAAGCCGGAAAATAATATCGAAGTTTAGCGCCGGCTCGTTGGTTAATAATTCGCGCAAAAAAAACTATAAGCACGGCATTCGGTAAATAAAGTGCAAATAAACCTTATAAATAACGCTAAGCAGCTTTTCGGGAATGGGTTAATTAAGCACCCCGCAAACAAAAAAATAAAAAATAACGATAAAATTGCATTATATATATATAAATTTATTTACCCCTTTCGAGCTGTATAGCCCATGGGGAGCACTACGGATCGGGGTAGCTATTTAAAGGTAAAAACCGTGCTTCCAGCCAATAGCTGTTTGGTGTAAAGCCGGGTAAAAACTCCTTCCTTTCGAGGTATCTTCTACTCCGCGTCGTCTTCGTAAGTAATTGTTTGTAAGGTATTTTCCGCACTTCCAAACGTTCGGTAAAAAAAAAGTTGTTATTGTTCGAAGCGAAGTATCGTGGTCCGGTCGGAGGTCGGTTCGTTCGTCGCATTTAGGTCGCGTTGTTAAGTGCACGTTTCCGTGCCAATTTAAGGCTTTCCCGTTGTTTTTTCCTTTTTTGTTAATTTTAGCAAATAAGTTAATATATCGCGGCCTTTTCCGCCTTTTTTTTCCCAATCCTTTACGCGATTTTACCAAAAAATACTACCAGCAATTGCAAAATAGTAACAGCAACAACCGTTGTAAGTCCTCCCTTTCTGGCTTCCGTTACCTCGCAGCCCATTTAACGTTTAATTGTAGGACCGTACATTCCTAGCGCTTCGTTAATACTCCGCTTCGGTTCCCCGCGGTTCGCAATCGCATTATAACGCTTAAAAAGAAAGGTAGCACGAAAAGGCTTGCTTTACCTTTTTTCGAGGTAACGGGCGATTCCAAAAAGCGCAAAGCCCGTCGTTTGTATATGGTTTTTTTTACATTTTTGCGATTTCCCGCTAACCCATCCCAATGTTTTTAGCGGTTCGATTAGCTGCACCACGTGCATGCGCATAATGGCCCGCGAAATTAACTTTAATAAAATTTATATATAGGATTTTAATAAATCCTTTTCGTCGTTTTTTTTAATTTTGTTTTTCCGGATATTTCGTTAATGGGTTGCTTCGGTTTAAATTTTAAATTAAGGAAATGTATATATTATTGCTCGAAAAAAAAGGTTGGCAAAAACGGATAATGCACCTTTGCGCTGGAAAAGGGCGTTTTGGAATTGGGCCAACGTATGTTCGACGCCGCGAAAAAGTTTAAATTTGTAAATTTTGCTTTTATTGCCGACAACAGCTTTACGAACCGTAAAAAGCATTACGTTTAGGCGTTTAACTTTACGGGCAAGGTAAAGGCTGTAAATTCTTTTCCTGCTTTGTTGTATTCCTTACGTCCCCGGTGCGTCGTTAATACTTTAAACAGGATTAAAAAGCTTAGCTCCCCTAGTACGAGCGCCGCGTTTACGCCAAATTTAAGGCCGTTTGCGAAACGTACTCCCCGGACGATACCCCGGCCCCGGTAAAGCTTCCCCGTTATTTTGCGGGAAATCCCGGAATTAAAGCTCGCCGCAATATTATTATTGCCGACATTTCCATTAAAATGTTTTTCGTATTCGATATTGCTTTTAATTATTTCCAAGCTAAGCGTAGCGGATTTAGCGATTTTACGTTAATGGGTTGCGTTAAAGCTTATACGCGGAACGTTCGATTTCGTTAAAATGTTTACGCTTAATTTTACAATAACGTTACCGAATTTTTTAATTGCTATAACGAATATTTCGAAAGGGTTACCCCCGCCGATTTTTTGCAAGTTAATAACGGCGACGGTAACGGTAAAGATAATAAGGTAACGGATGGTTTTTTTTCGGTAATTGGTAATTTCGCAACTAAGTTTAAAAAAAAGGACGATGCGGCTGGTTTTTAGCTTATTAACAAATTTGGTTAGGGTAAAGTTGCGGGTCCAGCCGGGGTCGTTGCGGCGGCGACGGGGGCGGTAAAAGGGGTATCGGCGGCGCTCGGGGTAGCAATTAAGGAAGCAGCCGCTATTGCATTCCCTCCCCCTTTCCAAGCGCTTTCCCGCGATTTTAACGAATTTAATTTCGGTTTTAAAGATAAAAGCGATAGCATAACCGTTTAAGCGCTATATACCCGGCGGTTCGGATTTTTTATATTTGGGATTTTAAAAATAGTTTGCGGCGACCCGCCCCTATAAGCGTAAATAAGTTCCCGCTTTTTAGCGTTAAAATAAAAGGTTGCGTTATTTTGTTTATTGGTGTGTAATGTTATTAGTAATTAATAAAATCGTTAAAAGGTTTTTTCGACGAGGTTTAATGTAAGTTTGGCTTTTTGGAGCCGGGGCGGTTAAGCCTTTTATTTCCTTTCCGAATTCGCCGCTTCGTCGCGGCGTTTAACGTTTTCTTGTTTTTTTTTTTCTTTTCCGCTTTTTCCGCTTACGTATCGATAATATCGTTCGATAAGGCGTAGTTAAAAAGCCGTTCTATCCTTATAAACCACTTTGTAACGATCGCTGCTTCGTTTGGCTAGCTTAACGAGGACTTTGCCGCTTTTTTTATTGCTTAAAAAAGTTCTTTTTTTGTTTTTGCAAGTTCGGGCAATGTAATAGTACGTGTGCTACCGTTTCCGGGTCCTGGCCGCATTAATACGTTGCGGCTACGCCGGGAACTTTCCGGAAAGCTAAATAGCCCCAAAGCTTTAACCTTTCCGTTTTTAGCTAAACCAATAACAAGCTTTGGGTTTTGTAGAAATTGCGGTAAAAATTTAGGATTTTTTTGTTGGGCTGCCCTTTATTAGCTTTAGCGCTCCTTTTGGTTGCCGTAACGTGATTGTGCTACTTTTTTTTCCACTTTTTTAGCACCGCTATTTTCGGGTTCGATTTTCCGATCCAATTTAGCGCTTTTTCCCGTTAACGGAATAGCCGCGTGGTCGTAACCGTAAGCTTTCGTTTTTTGTTTTTTAATTTTTGCTGCATTTTTTTGCAAATATTTGCAATTTTTTCCGCCAAACCGCCTTTTTTTAGCTTTTTTTCGAAATGGGCGACGCGACCATTTAGCCATATCTGGATCGGGGCTACATGCGTTTTTAATTCCAACAATTTCTATAAAGTTTTTTTGTAAGCCCCCGTTATTGTTTTTAAGCAATTGTTTTGCGTTTTTGCTTACGTTTTGGCCATTTTTTTAAACCGTAGCGGGGTAGCGTCGAATTTATGGTAAACCGGGGCCGCGTAACTTAATATTGCTTTAATTACGGCTAGGTACAAGTATTTGGTTTTGGTAAACGTAAGTTTTTACGTCGTTGTTATTAAGCGCGTAATAAATAGCATTTGGGTTGCCATTTTTTCGCGCATTTTTTGGATATGCTAGGTTTAATTTAGCTTAAAGTTAATCCAAAGGCTTAATATTCGCATTGCTTTTTTTGTTGTTTTTGGTTTTACCGTAACCTTTCCGAAACGGAAAGGTAGCGTTAGCGCGGGTTTTTTTTTTTGTTAGCCAAATTAGCTGGTATTTAACCGGGTCGAACTTCGTTCCAAATCTTTTTGCCCATTTTAAGCATACGTTATAAGCGGTTTTAAATTTATTGGTTGCGTTCGTCGCGTTGCGGTTAAAGCTAATTAAATTGGTATTATTTGCAAATCCCGTAGCCGCAACCCCTTTTACTTCCCGTAACTTTTTATACAAGCTTGCCGTGTAAATAATAAAAAGAATGGGTAATATTGGGGACCTTTGCGGGATTTTGCATGGAACTTTATTTTTCGCCGTATTTTCGCCGTTAAAAAAAAGTATTATTTTCCAATCGTTTAAAAAGCTTTTAAAAAAATTTAAAATTCATTGTAGGAATTAATGTTTTTTTATTTTATTAAAAAGGCGTACATGCGATACGGTATTAAAGGCGCCGCTTATATCGAATAATAAAAAACCAATTACCGCTTTCGCGTTTTAAACCGTATTTACCACTTTTGTAAGTAAGCGCATGGCCGTTTCCGTAAATTTGCATTGTTGGTTGCCCATTTATTTATCGGGAAATAATTAATAGCTTTTTGCGGCGTTTTTAATGCAAAACGCTAAAATCTTTTCCAACGCTTTTTTTATCGTTTTTAAAAGGGCAATTGGCTTTTACGCGCCCAAAGTGTTCGGGTTTTTATCGGGTTTTTGGAAGATAATGGTACGGAATTTCCGGAACCTTTTCGGAAAGTAACCGCGGTTTACGCATGCCGTAAACATTTCCGCCAATGCCTCGAAAAATGCCGGTTCCATTGCTAGCAATCCCCCGGTAAAAATCCCCGTTAGGCTTAAAACTTTCCAATATTTTATGCTTTAAAAGGTTTTTTTTACGTTTTTTACGGTAATTTTTTTGCGGACGAGCAAAAGTTGGGAAAGTGGTTCAGGGTGTTCGGGGATATCGGTAATATCCGCCGTTAATATAAAAAAAAACTTCCCTTTTAGGGCTGCTTTTTTCGCTTTTTTTGTTACCGTTACCCCTTCGCTTAGTAATTTTAACGACGGGAATAACGGGGGGGGAAAAGGTCGGTAGCTTTTGTATTTTGCCCATTTGGCAATGGTCCATATGCTTTTAGCGTTTTGTGTAATGCTCGTTTCGTGCATTGCAATACGTTACGTATACCTTTTCGCTACTTTAATAGCGCTTTTCTTTTTTTTGGTAGCTTTTTTTATTATTGCGTGGTTAATTCCCAAACGGTTTGCTTTTTACGTTAATTCGGCCCGGTGCTTATTGCGAAATAGCTAAAAAATTTCCTCCGTCCATTAGCTACAACCTCCGGCCTTTCTTTTTAATTCCGGTACGGTTAGGTCGCGGATTTCCAATATTGCTTTTATAATATTGTTTATTTTTTCGTCGATCGTTTAAAGGTCGATAAATGGTTATAACAAAAGGGGGATCTTATCGTTCGCTAAGGATTTAGCAAGTTTTTTATCGATTTTTTTCCAATTTCAACCCTTTAAAATTAGTACGTAAAAATTCGAAATGGTTCCCAAAATCGTAATTACTATCCCCGTATGGTCGCTACCACCTTAACGCTATTTCGACGGCTATTGGGTCCTTAACTTTCCGGTAGCCCAAATTAAATCGATAGTAATGTTTTTGTAGTAAAAGGCGGACTTCGTCGCCGCGTTTTAGCGAGTTATTAATTGCATGCCCTATAGCTCCGTTAGGCCGACCAATTTGGAAACCCCCGCGTGCATCGGTACGTTTTTTGGGCGCTTCGACATCCATGCTTTATGGTAAAGGTTAAAATTCCTTACCATTAAGCTATTGCTTTTCGGTTTTTTCCCGGCGAGCTCGTCGATAAATATTATCCAATTTATGGTAGTCGTGCTCTTTGGAAACGGGGAATAAACCGACCAAATCGTTATATTTTCGTTTTGGGTACCGATCGTAACTTTGCACTAATCCGGTTTTGCTTCGTAATTTAAAATACGTAGCGTTAATTTAACATAAATAATTGCTTTGGTAATAAAAGGAAAGGGGGGAACAAATTGTAATAATGGGAAAAGGGAAAGCGCGTTGCCTTTTTTTTAGCGGTTTTAAGGGGATCCCGGTGGGTTGCCGTATGGTCGCTGCGGGGTAAGGTCGTATATATATTGGATTAACTTCTTTTCGGCCCACAACGGGGATTTAGCGTTCCCTTTTAAATCTTTTGGTAGCTTTTGTATCGCCAATACGTTAAAGCTGCTTCCTTTCGCCAATAATGCGTCGAATACCTCCGGTTTTTTCGTTACGTTTTATTAAAAAACTTTAAGCATTGGTTTTTTCGTTAAAAAGGTCCTTTTTTGCTTTTGGGGGGGGCGGTAACGTTAACGCTTCTTTTTTGTATAATTGGATGCTAAGGGATTATATGTTACTGGATAATTAAAAAAGGGTAAGGCTTTCCTAGCTAGCCCTTTTTATTATTTCCCGTAGCGGTAAGGGGGACGCGGGTATCGCCGGGGAAATGGGTTTCGTCGGGGGGTCCGCGGGGGGGGTGCGGGGGGGAAAAGGCCTTAGGATGCGTAAGCCCTGGTTTTTTACAAATAGCGTAATAATTGCGTTCCTTTGTTTTACCGTATAAAACTTCCTAAGCCTTTTTATAAATCGTTCGGCCAATTTTAAAAAATTCCTTTTCCGTTTTATAAATAAAATTGGTTAAAAAGAAAGTAACTTTAACTTTGCGTTAACCTTATTGCGTATAAAGGTTTTTTTGGTCGGCGGGGTTATATTTCAAGTTGCTATTGGTATTTAAAAAAAGGTCGTTACGAAAGGGCTGTTGCTTTTTTTTGCTTAATTGGTTCCTTTTTGCTCCCGTGTAAGGGCTGCTTTTTCCCGGGGTAAAGGGGGGGATCCTGCCCGCCCCGCTTTCGGCGGCGATCCGGCTTGCAACGATTTCGAAATGGAAATTATCGGGATTTTGTAATGGGTAAGCTTCGTAAGCCAAGCTTTTTTTTTGCGTTATTGGGTTTGCTTTCGTACCGGGCAATATAAAAAGTAAAATAGGTGTTTAGCTTTATTGCACGGGATATAAAATGCCCCAAACATATTTTTCGGCGATTTTTTTGCTATTTCCTTTTTTTTTATACCGTTTATCGTTGTATTCCTTTAATTTATATTACGCACACGCCGTAATTTGTTTGCATTGCATGCTTTTATATTTTTAATTTAAATAGCGGTAATATTGCGCCGTAGTTAATTCGGGGTCGAAAGGTTGGCATTAATATGCCGACTTATCCTATCGAAAATAATCCTTTTGCAAATTTATTGCGCCTTTTAAGCTTGCGATTTGGAGCAACGCCGTTACCTTTTTTTTGCTACCTTTTTTTTTTATAACGAAACGGTAACCCGTTCGATGTTTTTATGCGGGTTTTCGGCGCTAAATGCCTTTACCAGCTTTAACCAATATTTCGCTTTGCTTTTATTGTTAAAAAAAGGTTAAAACTTATTGGCTGGTAAGCCCGTTACTATTAAGGCTATTATTGGTTTGGTAACTTTTAGGCCGTCCGTTTGTCCGGTTATATCCTAAACCGCAAAAGGCGCGTATTACGTCCGTAGCCGGTTCGTTGCGGCGGGGTTGCCGTAGCTATCCGCAACCCTTTTTATGCCTTTATTTATATCGTTCGTTTCCGGCCCGGGCCGGCATTTTTTTTCCGTTTGTTAACGGGTGCTAGCATTTCGAAAATGCAAACGAACGTTTTTCAACGGGTGCTAATAAACCGTTTCGACCCAACTTTTACCCAACTTTTTATTGCAAATCCGTTTAATTTTTTTGGGTTTTATTTTTTAATTTTTTTATTTTCGGTAACAATAAAAATTTTATCGTCGATCGTAAATGCTATCGCTTTTTTGGTTTTTATCGCTTGGGGTGCTTTAAAAACGGTTTACGCTTTTGCGGTTACTTAGGCCCAAATTTGTTTTTTACTTCCTCCGTTTGCGGCCGCAACTTGTTGCGCTTGGTCTTTTTTTTTTAATGTGGTTTTAATTCGTTCGAAAAATTAAAAAATTGTTTAGGTCGCGTCGGGGTCGATCGCTAAAGTCGTTAAAATTGCGGTCGTTTGGTTGGTCGCTTTAACGTATCGAACAAATTCCGCGATAATTTCGGCGGCCGTAATTTTCTTTTTTTTTTATTAAGCGATTGGAAATACTTTTTTGCAAATTGCATCGTTGCAATAATTAATTAGGTTTTTTTCGGGCTCGCGGTTGGTTTTTATTGTAATTGTTGCTGGTTTGGGTAATTCCCGTCGCGTATCGCGTGCTTCGATTGGTTAAAGCCAATAACTTTTTTCATCGACGCCGCGACGGCGCTTCGGGGTATTATCGAGCTCGCTTAGCTTTTAAGCAAACTAGCGTTTCCGGTTTTCGTAATGGCTTTAGTTTTTTTGTATGTCGTCGTCGTCGTCGCGCGCAAGCAGAAAACGTCTTTTTTTCCAGTTTCCAAATTATTGCCGGGGCTTAAATACCGTGATAAAATTGCATTAAAACAACGGATTAAGCAAAGGTGGTTAGCAAAATCATTTTGTGCAATTGGTTAAGTAAAAATTGCAATAACAAATGCTAATTAATTATTTGGCCAAATGCACAAAGTAATTTGGCGGGTATTAATTTGCGGAATTACTTTTTGCATTTGGCTAAATGGAATGCTAATAAAATTTGGTACTAATTAAATGGTATTTAGCGGGCAATTGGTTTTTATTGCAAGCATTAGCCAAATGGTACCGTAATTTATTTAAACGTAAAAGTTACTTTTAGCATTTGGTTAAATAAAATGCTAATGGAATTCGATACCAATCGAATAATATTTAGCAAGCAATTGGTTTTTGCTGCAAGCACTAACCGAATGGTGCCGTAACCCATTTGGACGTAAAAATTACCTTTGGCATTTGGCTAAGTAAAACGCTGGTAGGATTCGGCATTAATCGAATAGTGTTTGGCCGGCGATTGGTTTTTGCTGCGAGCACCAGCCGAATGGTGCCGTGCCTTTTTCGGATTGTCGTAAAGCACCATTCGGTGGGTGCCGTGTCCTCCGCCCCCTAAGGCTAGCGACAAAAACCCAAAAAAGGAAAAGGTTTGTAACTTAAACCATTTAAATTTCCGTAGTTTTAACCATTTCCGTAGCGGTAAAAACTAGCAACAAAAATTTAAAAAGGGATAAGGTTCGTAATTCGGGCCATTTCCGTAATTTAAACTTCCGTAGCTTTAGCCATTTCCGTAACGGTAAAAACTAACGACAAAAACCCAAAAAAGGAAAGCGTTTTTAATAACGCAATAATAATTAAATATGCAATTAAACCCCCGCGAATATATTTATATTAACGTTTACCAATCGATGCATTAAATTTAAAAAAAAGCGCGAATTAAAGCAAATAAATTACAACTTTTAAAATAAAATTTGGAATTAATTTTGTTAAATTGCATTACTTGTTAGTTATGGTTGTAATTTGTTGGGGTAAAAAGCGACAAAAACCCAAATGCGGAAAAGCAATTATTTTAATTAAAAAAAGCGAAAGCGATAAAAACCTTAAAATAATAAAGCGCAGCATTTAAAAAAGGAAAAGCGAAAGCGATAAAAACCCGAATTAAGCTTAGCGTTTTTTCCGTATTGGAACGGCATTAGCTTTTAAAATTTAAATTTAAACCGAAAAACATGAATGAAAAAGCGTTAAATGTACGGGCAAAACCGCCCGGCAAAAAAGAAAAAAAAAGCATTGGCATAATTAACCGGGCACAAACCCTTTCGGTAACGTGCCGGCAAGGTGCCGGTATTGCGGCTAAAGCATAATAGCAAAATTAAAAAATAAAGTAAAGCTTAAATTGCACGAAAGCGCATGGAGCGCGGAAAATTTATAAAACTAACCCCGCGTGCCCGAAAGGGCACGAAAGAAAGGGAGGTTAAAAAAGGAACAATTTTTGTTGGAAATAGCACTTTTGGGAAAAGAATTACAACGGCTCGACGGAGGAAATACCGCACCCGACCCGTAACCCCGTAACTACCCGCTTTTGCACTGTTTACCTTTAACACGCATTCCAAACAACAAAAAAAGTTGGTAAGCAAAGCCCGGCAAAAAAAAAAATCACGGGCTTTGCAATTAAAACAAAAAAGCATTTTTATATTAAATGCTAAAAAAAAATCGAAAATATCGCGTTAACGAACGGTAAAAAACCGCAAAACGGGTACACTCCGTTTTTGCACCCAACCAAACATTATTAAAATCGAAAGGAATGGTAAAACAGTAAGGAAAAATAGTACTTACGACTAACAATAGGAAAGGGGACAAACATAAGCAAGCCAAAAGGGCTTGGCCGTTAAAAAGGGGACTTAATATTACAACCAACAAACCAAGCTAACCAGAAAGGCGGCAAAAGAAGCTGCCAGGGTCGGAGGAAAGGCTACCCCGCTTTACCACGTAACATTTAAATGGTACGTTTAACATTAAAAGTATCAACAATATCACTCGATACTAACGATATTTAAGGAATTACAAGTATCGGCCCCAAGGGCCCAAGCAAACGCTTGGGCAAAATAGGGTATAAAAAGGAAGGATTTCCTATTGTCCTAAATAGTTTTTAACTAAGGCCTCGGCATTAATTAATTTAAGTTCGCTTCCAAGTACTCCTTGGAACAATCATTTAAACCGCACCCAAGTTACCTTGTGAATCCCCTCAATTGTTAAAGCCACCTGCTACTGCTTAGTACTCCTTCGGTGCCTTACCTTAAGAGCAGAGGCCTGACTGTAACAGTCGTAACAATTGGAATAACTTTAATTTAAATAGGAAAAAGTGCTTAAAACCAGTGTAAAGTACTACGCTTGGCGATACCGGATTGGGAAAGTGGCATGTTGTATTTTGGCTACAGCTGGTGCAGAATACCCGTGGGCGGTCCAGGTTTATCCATCGGGGTGGGCCGTGCACTTACGTGCCGGGCCCCACCCACACACAAGCACATAGCAAGGAGTGACAGCCAATTCCATCGCAGCGGCAGGACAGGGTGCCCCCTGCCGCTTGCCGCTCAAAGACGCTGTGGCCTCCCTGTGCCAGGTGGCCTCACGTGCGCGCCGTTTCCCCTTTAAACACCAGCCGCTTCAGCTTTTCCCTTCCCGACGCGTGTCTTGATGGAGCCATGACCCTGCGCCGACGACGCAAACACAGCTGGCAGGACCATAGCAGTAGCAAACACGATCGTAATTGCTGGCGGCGAATGGAGGGAGGTTCTTCCTCCAAGGACATGGAGGGCGCGCACGCCGCTCTGCGCGTATCACACGACGACGATGGTGACGACACGGTGAGGGCCGAGTTCGGCTATGCCGGCTCCGAAACCGAGGCTTGTCTCGACCGCGAGAACATTGGTCGGCGTCGGGCCATGGCTAAGCCTACGCCCTCGCTGCCCGTTTACATGACCATCCACCGGTAAGCCGGCTTGTTCCTCGACCGAGTGTTCACTGGGGTTGCCGTGTGACCCGAATCTGACCATGGCATCAATTGCGCAGGGTGCGTCGACTGGTGACTGCGGCCGTTGGTAAGTGTGCACACGTGCTTGCAGCCTTCTTCCACCAAGCTCCGCCCGCCCAAGCTAACACCGCCACGTGCAGACGACGCATACTCGCTGGATCAGCTTAAGGACCCGAGGCTGAACAAGCTCGTTGTCCGTCCTCTCGTCGACCGGCTGTACGACGCCGACGACATTTCGATCGGTACGCACAACTCGGAGGAGCTGCTCCCCTCTTCATCCCATGTATCTCGTCCTCCTCACTAACTTTCGCATTCAGTGTACTGCATTCTCGCCAACCGTGTCCAGTTCCTCCGCGAGCAGGACAACACCGTCCACCAAACTGTCAGCATCGCCCGCGCCACGCTCTGTGAGCTGCTCGCGTCGCAGATCCTCCGGCGCCTGCACGAGGAGCATGCCGACGATGGCGACGGCCTGCTGCTAATCTCCCATGTGCTGGTGGAAGGCTTCGACCCGCTGCAGGGCGCGCCAGATGGTATCCGCCAGGATGAGGCCAGCCGGCGGCGGCGGCAAACACTGTGGCAGCCGCGCGAGCGACGCGGCCATGAGCGCAAGCTGACAGCGCTCGAGTTGGCCATCATCTCGGAAAGCAAGGCGCTCATCGCTTCGGCCGCGTGCCAGCGGGTCGTGTCGGCAGTGTCCGAAGGGCGTGTCATTTACACACCGCTGACCCTCATGGACATCCTACCCGACCACTACCGCCACCATCCCATCACACTTTACGACCCGCGCCGGGCGCCGATTCTAAACCACTACAGGCTGATCGTGCCGCAGTGGCGCAACGCCATAGAGTTCTTCCAGTTCCTAACGCTGTTGGTGCTTTACATAGTCACCATGGTGTACCGCAACGACGAGGGCAATATGATCTTCGAGCTTCTCTTCTCCACCTACACCGCCGGCTGGGTGCTTTCGGAGCTTGCAGCCGTGGTCGAGCACGGCTGGGAGGTGCACTCGCAGTCTCTCTGGTCTTTTCTCGACTTGACCTTCATCTTCATCTACGGCGCCTACGTCCTGGCGCGGCTTTTCGACATCGCATGGGGCAATTTCCCGCTCGGTCAAGGGCTGCACATCCTGTGCTTGGCGGCGCCTGTGTTGTTGACACGCCTGGCCTTCACGCTGCTCCTGGACAACATCGTCTTCATATTGGTGCACGCTGTCATGCGCGACTTTATGTCTTTGGTGCTGTTGGCGTGCTGGTGTTTTGTCGGGTTCCTGCTGGCACTGCAGTGGCTGATGGTCAGTGATGACAACAGCAACACGCCCGCTCTTGTGCCGGGCTGGGCCACCATTGCCAAGTGGATGCTCTGGATCTGGTTCGGACTCGACGGCACGGGCATGGACGAGGCGGCCCACTTCCATCTCGTCTTCGGGCCCTTCCTCATGGTCGCCTTCGCCTTCCTGGGGAACACACTCTTCATCACCATCATGGTTGCAATGTTGACAAACACTCTCTCGCGGGTCATCGCCGATTCGGCGAGCGAGGTGTCATTCCGCCGCACGGTCCTCACCTTCGAGGGAGTCAAAAGCGACGCCATCTTCTCGTACCCGCCGCCGGCCAACGTGCTCGCGCTAGTGGTGCTCCTTCCGCTCAAGCTAGTCGTGTCGCCGGCGGCGTTCCACTCGACCAACGTGGCGCTGGTGCGGGCACTCAATGCGCCGGTGCTTCTGCTCATTAGCCTTTGGGAGCGGCGCCGGTTTGCACACGGGGCGACAGGCGGTGCGGGCAAGAAGAACCCGTTCCTCAACTGGCGCTTCACGGGCTTCTCGCCGTACGACAACGTCCAGGCCGTCTTTAGGACGGCGTTGCCCCCTGAGATAGGCGACGAGATCGAACAGCTGGATCCGATGGCGGCGAGCGAGCCTGAGAGAGTTCAGACTGCTTTTGTGCCCACGAGGGGTGAGCCTTGATGGGGAGTGTTGCTGGCCGAGTTTGGGGTTCGTCTGCATTGCATGTTCCTTTGTCGCTGGGGTAGAATAATAGAATGCATATAGATGGAGGGTGATTGTACACTTTTTAATACATGCTAGCATATTGGCTTCGGTGAAATTTGCAGTGGCCTGACCGTCGCTGTGGGTGCGGGAAGCGAGGGCAGGGATTACCAGCACAGTCGTGGAAGGGAGGACATGCATGTGATTCACCTCGTCGCTGCCAGCAGTGAGAGTCGACTCGGTGGAATTTTCCCATTCCGCCCCCGTGCCCCTGCCAACACCCTTGGCACCAGGCACCGCTATTGCTGACGCACAGGCCACGACAAACGTCACCGTCTCCACGACTTGTGGTGCCGCGGCTTTGTTCTCGCGCCATCTTTATCGTCAGTCAGTCCATCGCCATGCGCTTACTCTGGTGGCCATTTGTGCCTGGCTGCACAAAAAGTAAGCAATAAACCCTCAACGTTCGCTGCTCATCGGCGCTCGCTCGTGTCCCTGCGTTTTTCTGTCTCCTTTCTCCCCCAAACGGCCACCCGAGCCATCCGAGATGGCCTCCCCACCCAGTGGCCACGCTAAGCGGTTCCTCAACTACCCCGAGCCCGTCCAAGGGTGAGATTCTGTCTGGGCCAAACATCGCCGCTTGAGCAGAAGAGAGCTAACTGGAAACACCATGCAGACCCGTAGTCCCATACGTCGATGCTCCCCGCAAGAATCCCGTGCTGACGGGCCGCTTCCTGGTCCTATGCGCAGTCTTGTACGTTCTATCGTTGCATCCTCCTGGGTGCATCCTCCTGGGAAACACAGCCCATGCTGACCCCCGCAGAATGGAATGGCTGCGCTTCGTGCGCGAGTACGCCTGGCGTAACGCCAACTTTGGCGCACTCCGCAGCATCCGGCGCATGATCGAGGACTACGAGCCTTTGTATGAACCCACCATTGTTCCTCTGCCCGATCCTGACGCCGGCGATGCTCAAGAGGCACCCCTCGAGTTCGGGCCCCAGCCTCCTGCCGCAGCCAAGTACGTTGCGGAGAGGTACTACTCGGCTGCCGACTATCGCGCCCTATACCTGGCGGGCCAGGTGACACCAACGGACGTCGCCAAGGCCATCTTGCCGCTTATCCGACGTGACACTGAGCCCAAGGGCCGTCACTCGCTGGCCTGGTTCGATGTCAAGGTCGACATCGTGCTTCGCCAAGCCGCAGAGTCGACAGCGCGCTACCGGGAGGGACGCTCGCTCGGCCCGCTCGACGGTGTGCCCACAGCCGTCAAGGACGAGTATGACATGGACGGCTACATCACCTGCCACGGCTCGCTCAACGACTACACGAGTGCGCAGCTCGAGGATGGGTCCAACACCAACTGGTGCGTCCGCATGGTCGAGCGTGCTGGCTGTGTCGTGCTGGGTAAGCTGTCGATGAACGAGTTTGGCCTCGACACGACGGGCAACAACCCCGTTTGGGGCACCCCGCCCAACCCGTACAACAAGGACTACTACACGGGCGGCTCGTCGTCGGGCTGCGGGTATGCCGTGGCCGCTGGACTGGTTCCCTTCTCGCTCGGCGGCGACGGTGGCGGCAGCATCCGTGTGCCCTCCTCGCTCTGTGGTGTCTTTGGGCTCAAACCCACTCACGGCCGCCTGTCGTTCCGTCCCACGCAGAACCACTGCAGCACCTGCGCTGTTCTGGGTCCCATCGCTTCCGACGTGCGCTCCCTCGCTGCCGTCTACTCCGTCATTGGTCAGCCGCACCCGACTTCGCCCTTCCCACCTCTTCGTTCTGGCCCTTCGATGCTGTCTTGGCCCGCATCCCGCCCCAAGATTCTGGCCGTACCCGAAAAGTGGTTTTCGCGTGCTTCCCCCGCCGTTCAGCTGCTTTGCCGCGCCTTGATCCAGCGCCTGGTCCAGGAGCGCGGCTACAGGATCGTCTCGGTCGACATCCCGTTCCTCAACGAGGGGCAGATAGCGCATGCCCTAGTTGTCCTGGCCGACGGAACCAGCCTTCTCCCCGACACGAGCAACCTCACCGCTGCAAACCGTGTCCTGCTTTCCCTCGGCTCCGTCACTTCCGCCGTCGATTTGCTCCTCGCGCACAAGCTGCGCCGCCTGCTGGTCAACCATCTGGCCGACCTGTGGACCCGGCAGCACCCTGGCATGTTGCTTCTAACACCAACGACGGCCTGTCCCGGCTGGCCGGTGCGCAACCGGTCCGCAGAAATGAACTACGGCCTCAATGACGGCGACACCACCCTTACTAGCATGCAGTTTGTCTGGATGGCCAACTTTTGCGGCCTGCCTGCCATCACTGTCCCCGCCGGATTTGTGAGCCCTGTCGTGGTCGACGGGGCCACGGTTGCAAAGGCGGCGGAACCAGTCCAAGTGGGCGAGGATGTCGCGGGCAAGGTCCCCATCGGCCTCATGGCCATGGGCGAATGGGGAGCAGAGGAGCAGCTTCTGGGATTCGGGCTGGATGCCGAGGAGGTCGGGGCGGACCTCAGGTGTCGGCCGCCGGTGTGGGAGGATGTGATTGAACTTGCGAAGCGGTCATGATGGCTGTGCTTTGTTTGCTAACCCAGCGAGAGGCGTAGGAATGCTGATGCTCGTGCTTGCTTCCTTGTGGGATTTTCGGGGCATCATTCGATTAGACCAGTTAAGACGGAATAGAGCCAGTGATGGATGCGCAGAGCTCGAATGCTTGCTCGTGATGGCAGGGATTGCTAGAGCATTGGGTTTTGTAATGCTGCGAGCCCAACAGGGCAAGTCCGAAACTTGTATCCAAGTCCAACCAAGCCCACTCCGACCTGCATCAACTCCGGCCTGTGCTGACCCGGCGACGCGCAGAGCTGACATGAGCTAGCCACTACTAGACGGGATCTCCACCGGCCTGGCAGGATTGAAATTACAAATTGTGAATTTTTTTACCCTCATGTCGACTTGCTTACAGTTTCCGACGACCAGTCCTCCTTGTCCTTTAAACATTCCAACGTCCGCTCTGGTTTGTTCTCTGTCTCCCTACCTTGAAATGGCCCCGACGATCCACATGCTTTCGATATTCGCCATGGCGTTGCTGGCCCTGTCCCCGACCAGCGCCCTGCCCAGCACCAACGGCCCACCCTCTCGCGCCGACCACCACCCAACACACTCCAGCAAGACCGCCACCACCCCCATATCCAAGCGCACGGCAGCCGAGGTGGTCGCGGAGCTTAACTTGATCCCCAATCCCGAAAAGGGCTACTTCATCGAAACGTTCCGTGACGCGGCCAACATTACCACGAACGGCCAGCCGCGGTCGGCAAGCACCGCCATATACTACTTGCTCGAGGGCGCGGTGGGCGACTCGTTCTGGCACCGCGTCGACGCGGCCGAGGTGTGGCACTACTACGCGGGGGCGCCGCTGGTGCTGTCGCTGTCACGCGACGACGGAGTCCCGCCCGCCAGGCACGTGCTGGGCCCAGACGTGTTCGCCGGCGATAGGCCGCAGGTCGTCATCCCCGGGCTGGTGTGGCAGAGCGCCAGGAGCCTGGGGGAGTGGACGCTTGTTGGGACGACGGGTGAGACCTTTTTCTTTTCTTATTTCGCCTCTCTTCCCTCGCATGCTAACATGGACTTTAAGTTGCCCCCGGTTTTGTCGAAAGCGGGTTTGAGCTGGCCGACCCCAGCTGGACCCCGAATGGAGCGTAAGCAAGGCATGGAGGGTGAACACTAGAGTTGTAGTGATGGGCATAAGCTGTGGTTGTATTAGGACGTCCTGAGTTTACATGTTTCACAGACCTAAACCAAAAGATTAGACTAATAATATACACTCCTTCATATGTCACAACTTGGATGCTCTCTCCGGAGCGCCTAACGGCATCGACGAAACCTTTCCTCCCCACGCGTCCTTGATGGCATTCCAATACCTGTTAGCATCCTCCCGAGGAAGCGCGCAGTGCTCAGCCTTCTCAAAGATAACCCCACCCACCTCGGCCTTCCCAGCCAGGCCCCTGGTCGCCTCGCGTGCGTGCTGGAGGACGTCGGCAGCCCCCACGAGACTGTCGGCACGAGAAAACAAGTACAGCCTGTCCGCCCCCGCCGGCACCACGCTTGCGTCGTTCAGATGGCGGCGGATCTGCTGCACGAACCCCATGACCCCCGCAGCCTGCAGGCCCGTGACGACAGCCACCATGCCGAAGACGGCCGCCATGCCCACAGCCCGCAGCGGCATCCGCGGGGGTAGCGATTTCAGGGCGGCGTGGTACGTCTGCTGGAAGGACCCGTCGCCCGGGCAGCAATCCAGCACGACAAGACGCAGGTGCCCGTCGAGGATCGAGGGAGGCGACTGCCCCAAAGAGCGGGCTAGCTGGACGGCCACGCTGGCGCCACCGTTGGAAAAAGCGTGCAGCAGGAGGCCCTTGCCGCTGCCGGCAGCATCGGACAGGACGCGCGAGATTGCGTCGCGCGCGGGCGCCAGGCGAGCGCGTAGGGCGGCGAAGGGCCGGACCGACATGTCGGCCAAGACGGTGCGCACCACCAGGACGGCGACGCGCGGCCACAGCTGCTGGTAGCCCGCTACATAGCGGGCGATGCGGCGGTGCGTGTCCCCGCCGAGCCAGGTGCAGAGCACGACGAGGGCCGGGGCGTCGTCGCTGGGGGCCAGATTGACCTTGCTTGTGCTGTTGGCGGCGGAGGCGGGCTGGTAGAAGAGGATGTTGTCTGCGAGGGTTGTTTGCGATGGTGGTGGTGGTGGTGGTGATGCGACATGGCCATCGCCTTCGCCCCCAGCGCTCGGCGTCCCCACACGACGGTGGTCTGCTAGGCTGTTGGCCTTGGTGGATGCCATTTTGAGAGCTGTTATAGTGCTGGGTGGCTTGTTGGTCCACGCCAAGTGCCATTCGCAGCAGCGCGCTGGGTAATGCCCAGAGACGGGCGCTGCAGCTCGCGTGGTTGTCGCGATGGAGACATTGAGCCTAGGCCTGGCATCAGCCCTGGCAGAACATGAGCCTGCGGGGTAGAATGCCTGGCGCTGTGTGGGCGCTGTAAAGGCTGTGATTAGCCGGCTGGAGCGCCTGGAGTGGCACCACAACCAGGGGGTTGGGGGCCGGCCCGCTCTGGGCTGGCGGCCGCGGGACGGCGTCAACTGGTCAGTCATGGATGTCACTCTGCGAGCTTGACCAACAGCCGCTCGCCTCCAAAATTATCGACCACCAACATTTGCAGCCAGCTTTGCGGGAGACAGCAGCTGTTGCCTGCAGCATCACGCCATGGGCAGGCCGCCTTCTGCTTCTGGCACCCGTCAACACAAAAAACATGCATTCTAGCTATCATCCATGGCCGTCTAGGCCTTGGTATTGCTCCACCGCTCGCCCACACGAGCGCTCGCAGCTCTGCATACCCACCGGGATCACTACCCTATTACGTGCGCCAACGACCTTGATTTTGCGGTCTGGGTCCTGATGGTCGCCCGGTCGAGATGATAAATAGGGCTGGACGTGTCCACGGCTGCCCACAACCCTCAGATGCGGACCCAGCATCCCACCGTCGCTCCCGGCCGCCGACCCCGTCTCTAGCCCCGCCAAGCTTCTTCCCGGGTGATCAACCAAGACCTGGACCAAGGTTCAACCCTCCAACATGCTCCCGTCTCAGCTGCTGGCGTGCGTCGCCGCCCTCGCCCGTGTGGGCCTTGTAAGTCGCTGCCCTTTGCTCGCCCAGCGCTACCACGCCACTAACACCAGACTTCCCTCCAGGCGGCCACCCTCCCCCCTGCATCCGAGCTGGTGCGCCGCGAGGAGAGCGTCGCCAAGACATCAGACGGCATGATTTGGAGGGGCGCCGTGTTCCCCGGGGCTGCGCCTGTTGAGCTCCATGGAGATGTCGAGGACATTTTTAACCAGATCCTCGCCTTGAACCCCAACTACGCCCCCACGGACTCGGCTGAGGCTTTGGGCATGACGGGCGAGAACGCCGCCCCGACCAGCGGCACCACGGCCAACGCCATGAGCGTCCTCGCCAACGGCGTAACGTGCAAGGTCATGGGGGTGGGACAGTTCCTTTCGATAAGGGAGGGCTACCGCAGACTGGCCCAGCTGGGAGGCAACTGCGGCACGCCGGCGAGGGACTGCCGGCGCATGACGTGCAACAGCCCCAACAGCGCCACGTACATTTGCAGCGTAAGCCTTGGTCGCTCGCCCCCAGCCGGTATGGACATGTCCAGCTAATCCTTTTGCAGGAGCAAGATTCCCACACCGAGATCCCCTGCGCGAGGGCGGCGCAGATTATCGAAATCGACATTGCCAGCACCAGCAAGGGCAACTGCGGGTGCTGGGACGGCAGGACACGTAAGTATATATCTTGGGCTGCTGATGATGACACGACATGGCTGACATATTGTGCTCCCCGCCCAGCCTTCCTCCTCAGCGGCAACTACTACGAGGGCTGGTTTAGTATTTGGGCCGGCTTCGGCCGTTGCGGAACTGCCCCCAACCAGCGCCCGACAGCCTACCCGTTTCCCGGCGAGCAGGGATGGCCTGACTACTGCCCGTGATTCACCGAGGCTCCTGTTGGACAAAGACTGTAGCCTTTTTGAGCCCATATATACTAATGCTCCTTCGAAACACTTCCGTTTTCTTGTGAATTGCTATGTACAATTTGAAGTTTCCACCCCGTCTCCCCACCCGCGTTTTCGCTGTCGTCGAGGCGCTAAGCCGTGTAATATAACGGTTGCTGCGCTTAGGCCGTGAACTCCCTGGCGACGTTGGCGTTGTTTCGACCTGGGAAAAGGCAGCAGTTAGCTGGGCTGTGTTTAAGGAGCAGTGAAACGTGCAGAGCCGGATATCGGACGTCGTGCTGGATGGTTAGGGTTTCGCCGCTTCAGATACAAAACGCGCACACAACAAAGCTTCACAGCGGCACAGGCACATACTGGGGCAAGGCTGGGCACGGGGCGTCAAGGCTGGGCCGGGTTCAAATGCACTGCGAGTACCACTGGCTGGACACGGTGCAGGTGCTGCCGCTCTCGCAGCACGTAGCACCGGTCCAGCCCTGGCCGCCGCACTGGGCCCACCTGGGGGAACATGAGGGGCTGGGATTCGGGTTTGGGTTCGGGGTCGGGTCCGGGTCGGGATTCGGGTTGGGATTCGGGTTGGGATCCGGGCTGGGGGTCGAACCGACGGCGGCGTTGAAAAAGTTCCACGTCTCTTGGGGCGCAAACTTGACGCCGTTAGCGCCCGACGGGTCCGGCACGTGGCCGCCGCCGTGGCCGATCCAGGTCACAGCGGCCTTGGAGCACGTGTACGTGGTTTTGATGTGGTTCTGCTGGCCCGACGACGGGTCCGGCGCGTTCTTGGACTGGCAGCCGTTGGTACCCAGCCACTTGTCGCGCAGCTGCCGGCCCATGCTGATGTTCAGCACGTTGTCGGACGAGCCGTGGATGCCCAGGTACGCCACGGGCGAGTTGCCGCCCGCGCAGCCCGAGAGCAGCGCGCCCGCGATGACCGACACGGCCTTGAAGACGTCTGTTGATGGTATGTTAGTTATCTCTCCTACCGCTAGGGACGCTTGAGAAAGAGAGAAAGAGAGAAAGAAAGAAAGAAAGAAAGAAAGAAAGAAAGAAAGAGAAAAAACGTACTGGGCCTGGCGCAGGCGACGCTGTGGCTCATGGCGCCACCGTAGCTCCATCCCGTGGCAAAGATCTGGCCGTCGTCGATGCACAGGTCGTTCTTAATGCTGGTCAGGATGGCGTCGGTGAAGCTAATGTCTTCGCCGCCGCTGTTGGCCCAGCCTTTGTTGAGGCCGTTGGGCGCGACAAAGATGGCCGAGTTGCCGGCCAGGTTGCGCAGGCTGTAGTAGCCGCCGTTGGCCACGTCGTTCATGGAGCCGTCGCGCCAGTGGTAGCCAAAGACGAGGCGGTGCGCTTTGGTGCGGTCGTAGGTGCCAGGAAGCGTCAGGATGTACTGGCGCTGCTTGCCGTTGACCGTGATGGACTTGGTGCCCGACGAAGGCGGGTTCTTGCCGCAGCCAGCCGACGGCGCCGCCGCGATGGGCGACACGGCGGCCAGGAGGGCCAGGGCGGTGGTGAGGAACTGCATCTTGAGCGCGCTGTCAGGAGGGGCTTCTCAGTGGGGCTGGTGAGGGCTAGCTACACAAGCTGGGAGAGGCTCGGGAAGGAGAGGATGCTTTATACATGGCTGGTGGGTAGCTATGATTTCGATCGGCACAACGGCATCTTACTCCACATGTGCCTGTTGTCGTCAGCTACCCATTTCAGCCTGGATCGGCAACACCCCTTTTACTTCCCCGGATTTCGACGCACCACCACCAGCGGCAAAATAGCAGTTGTACCATTCAACATGTGCCGGCGCTCGTGGTTTCTCCTCATGCTCCCCCGGGTTTGGTACAGCGCGCAGCCCCTGGCCTATTTCCGAAAGCGGACTCTGGGCGCGCATCGACGCGGGGCCGCATCAAGGAAAGAAGCGCGGAAGCGAAACAGCCGCGAGCCCAAAGTAGATGATGGCCCAGCGACGCCTTGCTTCCCCAGCGAGACCAGCCTTCCCACCAATTACGGGTGCCTACCCCAGACTGCATTCTTCCGGTAACACACAAACGGGCTGAATTCTCCGGCACTTGGAATGTTTACGGGGAAACCGGTCCATGTACATGCGACGCTACGACGCTGCTAGGAGTTTTGGCTGTGATGGCTTCTTGGCAGGCGCCAGGTCCCGGATATTGCCGACGGGTGGTGCACGACCTTTATCCCCTGGCCCGACCAAGACAGAGAAAGCGGCGAACGGAGCTGCAAGAGCCTCGTTTATGCCCACTAGCACACGGGGCGGATTCGCTAGGTACAAGCACCCCAGCCACCGAAAACCCACCTATCGGTAGTTGTCCTGCCCTCCTCCGGCTCCAAGACAGACAGTCAAGCGTCGGGCCCAAAGAACACCCTGGGCCAGATGTTCATGGCCGTCTTGACGCTCCCCTCGGCCACGGGCAGTCCTGCGTGCACCACCCTGGCGTCGCCCGAGCCGTTGGCGGGGAAAAGGTTGACCCAAAAGACAGCGTTTCCCGCGGCCGGCGCAAAGGCCACTCCCCCGTCCTGGTGCCTCCTCCACGCGCCGTCCTCGCCGGCTCTTTTCGAAACCGCCACAGGCTCAACCCGCGGGAACCACGTCTCGCCGGCGGCATCCCGCGCGCTGCAGTTGCGGCACTCGAGCACGGCAAAAAAGGTGGCGGCGCGGTTGTACATGCGTCGCCGCCCGGCTGCCGCGTCGGCGGGCAGCACGCGCGGGCGGGCGAACCAGTCCGTGTGCAGGTCGAAGCGCGAGCCCGTGCTGTTGTAGCGCACCATCTGCGGCCCGCCGCTGCCCGCCTCGTTGTTGTCGTCCTGTGGCGGTGGCAGCACGCCGCCCATGAAGGAGCGTGCTCGTGCCAGCACGCAGGCGACGGCTGGGTCCGTGGGGTCGAGAGGGGCCGAGTGCGACGTCCGCGACGGGGCGCCGCTAGCGTCAGCTCCGCGGACGACAATGGGCGACGAGACTAGGTGTGGGGTGCCGGTGGCCATGATGGAGGCTGCCTCGGCCGAGGTTGTGAAGTTGCGGATGTAGATAACCAGTGGGTCGACCGAGACGAGCTCGGTCGTGTAGGCATGCGGGAGGCAAGTGAAGTGAGATGACGAGGTGGCCTTGGCTCGAAGCCAGCCTGTCTGCTCTCGAAACATGTCAACAAGCGCCAGGCCTGGATCCAGGTATGCGATGCCCGCCAAGAGCACCGCGCACCCAGCAAGCACGCTGGGAAGCGTCGTTCCTATTGTCGCCATTACTGCAGTATCTTAAGAGTGCCTCCTAAAAGTGAAGTTTATCTTGCTGGTTGCTAGCGTGTCAACACCAAAACTAAACTGGCGAGCTGCTGCCCATCTACAAACATAAATCTGGCCCCGTCCCGTCAAAGCCGCTCGCGGCTAAAGGTACCACTCACCACTGGCGTCTTGCGGTACGCCGGCGGCAGCAGCCCCTCCAGCTCGGCTTTGATCTGCAGCGCCAGCGTCGCCGAGTGGTAGCGGTGGAACTGCGTGTGGCCGCCCGTGACCCAAAACGTCACGCCGCGCTGCTCCAGCCCCAACGCCCGCTTCCACATGCCCCGTATCTCGCCTTCGCCATCCACCCCCCACGTCCCGTCCATGCCGGCCGCCACCTCGCTCGGCCCCATCGTGTTTTCCTCCCCCTTCTCTTTCGTTTCGAGCCGGCCTCCCAGGACCTCGACCGCCGTCTTGCGCGCGTCGCGGTCGCGGAACCCGGTACACCAGACGACAGCGTCCGCCTGCACCGCCGACCCGTCACTCAGCCGCAGCCCCGTTTCAACAAAGGCCACCGGCTCGACCCCGGCCTTGAGCCCGACCTTGCCCTGGGCTACTAGGTCCGTCGCGCCGCACGTGTCGACGTAGTGCCCGCCGCCACGCTCGATCAGATGCGCCTGCAGCGACGGGCGCGACGGGTGCGCGCTGTCGACCACCGGGAACCCCGCCGCCGCTAGCGCCATGTACCTATCCGGCTCGGCGGCCGCTAGGCGCGCTAGGCACATGGCTCCGATCTGGGCGTCGACAAAGGTCGGCATGGCCATGAGCAGGGCGTCGGCCGCTTTCGCGTTGAAGTTGTACAGACCTAGCGTGGACGGGTGCGAAATGTGGTCGAAAGGGAGGATGTAGATTGGCGACCTGGCCACCATGACGACCTCGGCCCCCGCCTTGTGCAGGTCGCGCACAATGTCCCACGCCGTGCTGGCCGCGCCCACAACCGCCACCCTGCGCGCGGCCCCGAGCGACGCCTGTGGGTTCTTGTAGTCGGCCGAGTGCATGCTGATGCCTTTGTACGCTTGCCTGTCGGCTACTTGCGGCATGTATGGCTGCTGTGAGCCGACGCCCGTCGCTTGCACCAAGTGTTTGCCAATGGCGGCCCTCAGCCCCGTCGGCGTCTCGATCTGGACCGTCCACCGCTTAGACGCCAAGTTGTACTGCGCAGACCGAACCGTGGCGGACGTGACGACATCAAGATGAAACTCCTCAGCGTATCGCTGCATGTGCTTGGCGAGCTCGTCACGCGAGAGAGTCTGCTTGAGCAGCCTGTCGTCGTAGTCTGGAAAGGCAATGCTGTGAGAGAATGGACTACCACAATGGACATCGACCACGGCACTTACGCAGATACGGCATGTGCGCATACGCTGTCGGCACGTGGAAGCTGAGGCTGTCGTACCGGAGCGCCCAGTTATCGCCCACCCTCGCGTTGCGCTCCACCATAACACTCCCGACTCCTAGCGCTTTAAGCCGGGCGGCGAGAGAAGCGGCTCTGCAAGCAGTTAGCTCAAGAAACAAGCATCCAGGCCACGCGCCCAAGACTCACGCATTGCCGGCCCCAACGATCAGGACGTCAGTCTCGAAGTCGCCGTTGTCGTCAAGCCCCATCCCCGGACTCCGGAGCAGCCCTTCGTTTTCCGGGTGCACATCGAGGTTTTCGAGCCTGGTGGATAAAATCCAGATCTTCCACTCGACCGGGGCGTCCTCTCCACTCGGGACGGGGAGTAGAAGTGCTCTGCCGGAGCAGGTTGCCGCCGGTGATTCGGTCCGGAAGGCCAAGGCGCAGTCAAGCATGCACTAATAAACGGCAGCCCGCAGTTAGCAAATGTAACACAAGGCAACAAACGAAACCACAGGACCCAAAGAACTCACAAACTCGGGCTGGAACGCGACATCACCCACGACGGCAAACCCCCCACCTAAGCCTCTCATCCCCGCCGTCTCGACGAGCGCGGCAGCCGCGACCCTCCCCGTCAAAAAGGTGCGCAGGTGCCACGTGAGCGCGAGGCTATCCCGCCAGTACGCCTGCCCGGGGTGGAAGCACGCCTCGCCCGCCGCCGCGTCGCCCGCCGCCAGCGCCGCGTTGAGCGCGCCCAGGACCGCGAGGGCCGCCTCGGCGCACCGCCCGCCCGTCATGGCGGCCCTGTCGACGATCCCCGGCGCGACGTGCGGGAGCGGGTTGTCGGCCACCAGGGCCTTGAGGCTCGCGCGCGAAGGGTGCACTACATCCTCTCCCTGCTGCTGCTGCTGCTGCTGCTGCTGCTGCTGCTGCTCGGTAAGTGCTACCATGGATAAAATGCCGCCAAGATTCCTGCAGTGCTGCTGCTTTCCCAGAGCTGGGATAAAAGAGGCAAGAGGCAAGAGGAAATGTCGGACACTAGCGATAAAAAGAGAAAACGACACCCTCAGGTCAGCAACCTGCACTAACCTCGTGTGTCGTCCAATAAAAGAGATTGGTGTCACGGCTGCAGATACCGTGCATGCGATGCGACCTGAAGACGCGACGGAGGGTGTGAGCTTCGGCTACAACGGATGGGCACAGCCGGCTCACAGCATATAGCCCAGCCTTTCCATAAGCTAATCTGCGTGCGAGGCGAGGGAAGCCAGGACGCGTGTTGGGTGGTGACACCATGACCGTTGAGGTGTTAGAAACAAAAAGCAGGAAGAGACGGGCGGTTTCAAGGGTTGCCTCATGGACCAGCTCAAACACCAATGTAAAGCCACGTTAACAAGTTCACCCTAACAAAAAAGAACCGCTGCAAGTTCCGAGTAGAATAAAGAGTATAACAAAATATATAATAGCGGGAGAAAGATGGCCACGTACAACCCCGGACGAGAAAATAAATCACCTCCCAATGTTGGAAAAGACAGCCTTAACCTCGGCGCGCGGCCACTCAAACAGCACGTCGCCGCCGTACACGTTTGTCGTGATAGCCGAGATGCGCATTTCGACGTCGTTGTAGAAGCGCTCACACTCGCGCAGCACCCTGTTGACCAGGCCCTGCGCGTGCTCTGTCTGCGGCTGGCTGAAGCCGCCGCCCATGCCTGGCGTTAGGCCTCCGCCCCCGCCGTCGTCCGAGTCGCCAAAGTGCTTCTCGACCCGCTTGCGCAGCGCCTCGAGCCCCTTGCGCACCTCCTTGGCGTCGTAGTTGCCCAGCACCTTGTTGAACATGGCCTTACTGTTGCTTGCCTGCCCCGCCACCGCCCCGGCCGTCTTCCCGTTGGCCAGCTGCGCCTCCACGTTCTCGAGGTGCTCCAGCAGCCGCCCCAGCGGCCGCCGCATCACCGCGTTGAGGTACAGCGACATGTGCTCCGCCAGCTCCGCCGCCGCCTGCTCCTTCCACTCCTCCAGCACCTCGACCGGCTCCGACTGCTGGTGCTGCTGGTTCTGCTGCATCTTGGACACCTCGTCCAGGAAGTAGTTCATGTTCTCGATCAGCAGGATGTGAAAGTTGAGCGCCTCCTTGTCCTCTGGGTCCGCCGCCAGCGCGCTGCTGCCGCCGCCCGCCGTCGTCGCCCCCGACACGGCCGGGTTGTCGCGCGCGATCACCTTGACCGACTCGAACATGGACCGCAAGATGCGCTCGTATTCGCGGTCCACCGTCCGTCGCGCCCCCTGCGTCGGGTCCGAGTCCACGAGCATGTTCTCGACCGCCGCGCTGAAGTTGGGGAAGATGCGGATGAAGGCGATCACGCCCTTGCGCTTCTTGATCTTGACCTTTGTGTCCTCGATGGCCCGGATCTGCTCGTCCACGAACTTCTTGAACTTGCCCTCGAGCGTCGCGTGGAGCTTGGAAAGGATGCTGTTGAGGAAGTCCTGGTTGGACTGGCCCATCCCGGCCATCTTGCGCTCCAGCGCTGCCAGCACTCCAACACCTTGACTGCGATTGGTGACAAATGGTTAGCTCTGGACTGTATAGCGCAGGCAGCCGAGTGCAGTGAATGGATGAGGAATTCAGTGGCCCAAAACTCACATTGGGTTGCTGGACAGGACCCAGTCGATGAACTTTTGCAGCTCCTGCTCCAGGAATGCAAAGATGACCTCCATGGCTCGCGTCACACGCCTGGCAAGCTCGCGGTCGGGCTCCATGAGGCGGTGGCGGCGCAGATCCCCGAGCCCTCTGCGGTCCTGCGGACGGGCCGCGGCCACGGCCTCGGGGAAGTCGAGCTGCTCGAGCGTGGTGGCGTGGAAGAAGTCGATGATGAAGTTTTGCTCCATCTCCACCATGGGCACCAGGTCGTCCAGCGCGGCCTGGAAGGCCTCCCACGGCTGGCCGTGGTTTGTCGTCGGCTTCTCTGACAGGCTGACCTTGCTCTCGCCGCGGAAGGTGCGCGCCAGCGTCTGGCTGCGCTTGACCGTCAGCTTGCGCGCCGCCATCACCATGCCCTCCTGCTGCTTCTCCTGCACTGCCGACGTGAAGAGCAGATCGCTATCATCGCCTACCGACTTGGGGTTGACCTTCCACCGGTCCAGCGCGCCTCGAAACTCGTCCTTGTAGACGGGGTGGCACTTTTCCTGGTATATCTGCACGATGCGGTTCCAGTTCTCCAGGTCCATGTCGCGCGCGAACAGGATGAGCGGGCTATACTTCCACAGCATGTCCCGCCCGACGTCGTGGTTGCGCGGGTCCACCTTCTTGGACATGGGCCCGTCCACCGCCCGCTTCACCTGGCTGTACGCGTCCTCGAACAGGCCGGCCGTGAAGCCGACCAGCCGCCTCATGAAGGCCGCGCTCTCGGCCGTGTACATATCCTTCTTCTCCTGCACCATGCGCATCTTGCCGTAGTCGCTGTTGAGCCCCATAGAAGCGTCCTCTCCGCTCCCGTCGACGCTCTTCCGGCCCGACTCGGAGCTGCCCATGGTCGGGTCGATCTTGGTCATGGCCTTGAACAGCGTCACAAGCGCGGTCTCGATCTCCTCGAGACCCGCTGCACTCTCGAGCGGCGCCATCCTGAGTGAGTCGAGGTCAGTCTGTGAGATGGCACAGGTGTCCAGCAGAGACTCCAGCTCCTTCTTGAGGAGCTTCTGGTTGGCAGCCTGGACCTGGAGACCTTGGCCCTGTGCTTCTATGTATGCGATATCCTCCGACAGTGTCTGTGAACGAGGGCGTAAGTTGTGTCTGGTTAGCCGAGTCGACACTTCAAAAGGCCAAAACAAGATGTTTGCTCACAGAAAGCTCAACGCTGTACAGGGTCAGGAGGTTATCCATCTCCTCGCACTCCTGGATCGACAGGTCGATCCCCTTTTTGATGGCGTCGACGCGCTCGTCCTCTTCGCGGAACCGCGCGAGCCAGCCGCCGGCCTGGGCCCGGTTGAGCTCGCGGTCGATGTCGATCCTCAGGTCGTCAAAGTTGCGCGACCGCATCTGCTCACCAGGCACCCAGCCGAAGTAGTCGAGCCACTTGGTGAAGTCGACGCTGCGGTTGTCCAGCACGCTCGGGTCCACGCCGAGAGTGGCCAGGTACTTGACGTCGTTGCCGGTGACAACCGACTGCCAGCTCGCGTCCTTCTTGGCCTCTTCGGCCTCCTCCGCCTCCTTTTTGGCCGACTTCTCCAGCTCCTTGATCTTGACTGTCGGCACGGAACCCTGGGAGGGTGTGATTGTAACCTCGGGGATCTCGCCGAGCGGCGACTGCTCCTGTGGCTTCTCCAGCGATGCTGGTCGCGGGGGCGCAGGCACAACGCCCGTGATGCCGTCTGGTTCCTCGCTGTTCTTGACCGACAGCGCGGCCTGCCGCAGCCTCTCAGCCGCACCTCCAGCACGCGGCTTGAACCCGCCAGCAGCCGCAGCCGCAGCCGCCTTCCAAAACACACCTTGTGTCTCGCCCTTGGACTTTTTCTTGATCATGGGGCCCAGCCCAGGGCGCTCCTCCTCTTCTGGCGGCGTGGCTTTCTCCTCGACCGGCGTCTTGGGCGGCGGAGGTGACGGCTCTGCTGCTGGCGGAGGCACAGGAGACGGCGGAGCGACGACAGCGATGGGCTTCGGCGTAGGTGGCTTGGAGAATGAGCCGTTGGCGGGAACAGGGCTCCTGGACGGGACGGCGTCGAACCTGCCGGGCGAGTCCGTGACAGAGCGATCATGAAGGGAGCTGACCTCGGAACGGGCCGTGCCTGGACGAGACTCGGCACGGGACGCTATCGAGGGCTTGCGGGCGACGTTCCTAGGAGGGACAGCAGGCTCCCTGTCGCGCCGCATGCCGGAGCTCATCAGCGGGGCCGGCACAAGGGCATCGTCCGAGTAGCCCTGCGGCCGGCCCGGATCCATGGGCGGACGCTTCCGTTCTGGGGGGCGCTCGTCGCGTGTGACGGTGAGATCAGATGAGCTGCCGCCGAAGCGGCCGGATCCGTTGGAGGGTGGCGGCTCCCGGGACCTTGTCGTTGTGATGCTGCCGCCATCCTCGCTCCTGGCGGTGAAGGAGGCGGCCACCGAGTCCTGGCTCTTGTTGGAGCCGGCGAGACGGCGCAGCGCGCTCTGGTTGGCGGACCGTGACGAGTCGAAGCTAGCGGCTGGTGACGCGGAGCCGTCCTGCCCCATCAGCTGTGGTGGCCTCGGGGGTGAGCCTCGGTAGTCTGGGGCACCGCGGGCGGCATCTCGAGCAACATCCCGGCCGCCGTAGTCGGCCCTTGATCCTGGCACGACGACAACCGGTTGCTGCTGCTCCGACATGGGAGATCGGTCGGTAAATAACGCTCGGCCTGGTGGCGGGGGCGGCATGCGGCCTTGCGAGGGCCCTGGCGAGCGGCTCGGAAGGCGACCCGACGCATTCTGGCGTTCGGGCTGGGGGGAGAACTGCTGCAGCGGCGGCTTGCCGGGTCGGCGCTGCAGCCCGCCCAGCACCTGGTCCTCCTCCTGGGGGTCGAAGCCCGAGAGGGTCGGGGTGCGGCCGCCCGTGTACTTTGCGTAAATCTTAATCAGGCTCGCGATGAAGAACTTCTTCTCCTTGTCGGTCTGGGCCTGCCAGTAGTAAGGCTTTCCGAGGATGACGGTGAAGCCGATGTTGCCGGCCCACTGGCGGTAGTCGGGGGTGATGCCGGGGCCGGTGAAGGACTCGATGGTGGACAGGTCATCGAGGTTCCACGTCTTGCCGATGCTGAAGGAGCCGTTGGGGTTCTCCTTGGACTTGTGCATGCGGACGCGGCCTGACTTGCGCACGGCGACGATGATGACGCGCGGCTTCTCGGACGACGCGGAGCGGGCCTGGGGCGGGGGCGGCGAGGTCGGGTGGGACGAGTACTCGACGATGCGGATATGGGTGATGTACGTCTCGAGGATGGAGCCGTCCTCGTCGCGCCGCGCGAAGCAGCTCTCGATGATGCGACGCTTCTCATCCTCGAACTTCTCGGCCCTCGACGCCATGGCTGGCGAGAGGGCTGTTCACGAGTGGTGCGACGGCGGCGATGGCGGCGAGGAGGCACCAGGCATTTTCGACGGCGGCTTCGTCATGCAGCGGGGACTGGCTGGGGAGAGCTGGGGAGGGCAGCGGTGGGTGCGGGCTCTCGGTCGTCTTGTCGTCTTGTCGTGCAAATCTCGCCAGGCGAGCCTGGGCTGGCGAGCGGACGGGCGTTTATTGAGCTCGAGAACAGTCGATTGTCGGCGAGTTGGCTCTGCCCGCGGCCTTTCTTTGGGTTTGGGTCGAGGTTCGAATTCGGTGATGCGATGGCTGCCACGGAAATCAATGCTGCAGCAGGAGCAACAGCAACGGTACCGTGTGGATACTGTGTCTCCCGCACGCACCTACCTGCAGCTGGGGCGGGCTCCCGCGAGGTCTGTGCGTCAGCTGGACCAGGGCCGGGCTAGGGCGAGGCGAGGGCTCAATCAACCAATGGCCAGTCAGATGCAGCTTCGCGCACCCAGACTCGACTCTTGTTTCACAGCCATTGTCATTCAGATAAACAGAGGCGCCCAGACACTTCAAGTGGCAGTGGCATGAACTGCTTGCTGCCTTCGGGCTGTCATTTCAAATACTTTTTCGGGCTTCATAACAATAGCTCCCAGATCCCATTCTCTGTCCCAAATTACAAATGTGCCTGAACCCAATAATAAGAACGCCTAGCCAACCTGTGCCGTCCGGCCATTCAAACCCCATTTGCCCAGTTCGTAAATAGTGACGACAAAATAACCCAAAACCCAAATATCCATCATACAAGCCCCTCCTCAACGTCCGAAAAGTCGGCGTCTACAATAATCGGCGGCTTCCGCACCTCCTCCCGTAACAGACTCTCGGGGAGGTAGAACTGCGACGACGACCGGAGCGAGGAGTCGCCGCCGCCGCTCACGCCGTCCGTATTATACGACTCCCTCGCCGAAAGATCCGCGTCACCCGTATCCTCGTCGTCGTCTTGGTATCGCCGCGCCATGAGTGAATTTCCATGTCCGCTGGACGACGAGATCAGGATGGGCTGTTGCGCTGCTGTTGGCGTCTTCTTCTTCCGTGACGATGACGCACGAGACAGCGATGGCAGCCGTTGGACGGGCGACGACGATGGCAGCATGGCCTGCGTCGACCCCTGGCTAACCGTCGTGGCTTGCGAGAACGATACGGCCTTCCTACCACTCCTGGGCGCCGCTGGAGTCTTTGGCCCTTGTTGTAGCTGCTGCTCCTGGATCCGTTGTGACACGCGTCTGCCGGCGCTATGAGGTGGCGGCGGCGCGACAGACTCATGTTTCGTGTTCGAGCTGCGCCGCGCCCCACGTTTGGCCGGGGTGCGGGATGTCACGGGTAAGCCTTGCTGGCTCGACGGTATGACCTCGTCCCCCGCGTACTCAGCGCGAGACGCGAATTGCGTCGAGTGCTCAATGTCGCTGTGTATTTGCGCCTCGACCTGCTGCGAGATGGATCCGCTCGCCGTAACCCCCGTCCCAGGCGGCGGCCGGCATGCACCGTCGTCGTCGACGTCGTCATCCTCAAGCAGATGCTGCTCTCCGTCGTCAAATAGAGCACATCTCAGATTGGCCAGCAGCTGTCCAACCACTGCCGGCGGCAAGAACCTGTGACTGCGCTCGTCCTGGCCCTCTGTCCAGCCGCTCTCACGCATTCTGTCCAGCGAGACGGGGTTGCTGAGCTCGTAGACTTGAACAAGCTCGTAAGCAAACTTGGCCACGCCGCCCGCCATGCGCTTGCCCTCATTGAACTCGGCGTTCCCCAGGCCAGTGTTCGGGTCGATCTGCCCCATGGTCCGCGACGGCCCCAACGTTGCCATGTACCGCAACTCTTGGGCCGGCCGACCGACGTAGATCCATGTGCGGACGACGGAACGCGGGAACCGCGTCGCCCTGAACTCGTGGTTACGCATGCCTTCAACAACCTCCTGCACACGGCTCGGGTGCATCGTGACCACCACGTCTGACCTCTCCGACGCCGGCGCCATCTCGCGGAGAATCTCCATGGGCACCCTCTGGCTCTCCATAAGCTGCGTATATGCTCCCTGCGTTTCGTGCTGTGTGTGCTTCTGGGTGTGTCCCCGTATGCGAGCCTGAGTCGCCTTCCGGGGGCTGCGGCGAGACGGCGGGCGTGCCGGAGATGTCTTGGCCACGAAACCAGGGGACGTGAGAGGTGTGTCCTCGCCATCGTCGCCACCGTGATCGCTTGTTGGGATCTCGGCAGGATGCTCGGCTTGCCTGGAGCGCATTGATGAAGGAAGGGCGGGACCTGCACCGCTGGCGGCGACGTCATGGACGGGAGATGACGACCCAGCGACTACTCTTGGCGGGGGAGGGTTCGGTAGCTTCGCTTTGGCCGAGCGTGTATTCTGGCTAGCGGACCGATTCGCAGGCGTCGGCGTAGCGACAGTCGGAGTGCTTGGTCGTGTTCTCTTGGGCGTCGGGCTCGGGCTGTCCGTCTCCACGTCCGAGTCTCCTATTTCGGCGTCGAGAGGAATCGAGGTTCCCGCTCTTGATGTCTTGACGACAGAGCCAGTCGTTTCCTTCCGCGCTTGTGTTCTCTGGCTCGGCCCTCGCGTTGGTGTCTCTGGTATGGAGCCCTCTGCTTCCGCCTCAGAATCAGTCTCCACCGTCGGTCCCGCGTCTCCTGGTGCGGTACCAGGCACAGGCTTGTGGGCAACCGGGGTCGGACTCCCAGGCTCGTCCAGCGCCTCGCCCGCACCACCACTCCTAGTGGCAGGCGTGGGTCGCCTGGGCGGGGGTCTGGTCGGAGTCTCAGGTGCCAATGCCGAGTCGCTTGCCTCTTCCGACTCGTCCATGTCGGCAAAAGCCACCCTCAAAGGCGTGGGGGTAGACTTATTTGGTGTCGGGTCCAGAGAGTCAAGCTCGTCGTCTGAGTCTGGTATCTCGGCGTCGGCAGGCCGAGCAGCCCTCTGCAGGATACCACCAGCAGAGGGGCCAGCGTCAGTCTGCGCAGCAACGACGGGCCTCAGAGGCGTCGTGTTTTCGTCGGGCGCGAGAGGACTCGACCCCGCGCTTTGAGCGACGCGTCTTCGCGGCGGCGGGAGCTCCCGTGGCAGGTCAGCCAGGGACAGCTCCCCCAAAGGGCTGCGCTCGATACGAGCCCTCCTTGTCGGCGTGCCCAAGAGGGATGACGAGACGTTGCCAGCGGCACCTGCCATATTCGACGCACCGCTGCCCCTGGGTGCTGCCGGTGACGACAGCTCGCCGGCGGTGCTGTACGAGTCCGGGATGATGGCGTCACGAGGCGCCGGGCGCCGCTTTCTCTTCTCTGACGATGACCCTGTCGCTGCTGCCGCTGTCCTCTGCTGTACTGGCCTTGGCACCGTAGCACTCGCGTTGGTCGATTTGGCCTTTAGGGGGGACCGGCGGACGCCGAGAGGGCTGCTATTCCTGATCAACATGCGCACACTAGGCGACAAGACGGCGGGAGAAAATGGAATAGCAGCGCTTGTAGGGTTCCTGTCGTGGGTGGGGGTCTGCGGGACGATTGACGATGCCCTGCTGGGCCGCTCCCCTCTGTGCTCTTGGCCCACACCACCTCCGCCAAAAGCATCCATGGCGCCGCCCTCGTCCTCGTCCTGGTCGTCCTCGGAATCGCCAATGATGATGGGCCCAATCCCCTCCTCGGTCGACTGTGGGAGCATCTGTGTGAGAGTTTGCGTCATGAATGACGAGCTAGGCGCATCGCCCATCGTCTTCCTCCTCTTGTTTGGTCTGCTCTGTTTGCCCTCTTTCGCCACGGGCGTCTTGCCAGCCCGCGTGGAACCCCGCAACACCCTGGGCTTTTCCACGTCTTCATCACGCGGCTGCGTTTCCGGCCCCTTTCCCTTCTCATCACGATCGTAGTTCCGGTCGTCCTCGAGTCCGTTCTCGTTGTCGTCTTCGTCGTCCTCATCGTCGTCCAGCTCGTCCGGCTGAGTGGGAATCACGTAGCCAATCTGGGTCATGGTCTGCTGCCTGAGGGCCGCTGAGGCCGACAGGCGAGTGGTGCGCCGGCCGTAGGTCTTGAGGGTCTTCTTGGGCGGGGGGAAGCGGGTCTGCTGCAGCGGCGTGTCGGCATGGCGATAGACTCTGGATGCCGGGGCTGAGGCGGGCGTCTGGCGCCGGGCCGACGACGAGGGGACCGACGATCGTGTCTTGGGCGCCATGGCGAGGGTTGTTGACAAGCCGTTGCCGGCAGGGGAGGCAAAGAAAAGAAATCAATTACATCCAGGGGTCGGGTGTGTGTGATTATACGATGAAATGTGTTGCTTGGGCTGTTGAACATGGGCCGGAGTCGTGGTCGGAAAGCCGAGCAAGCACAGCAGGAAGCACGGTCGAACACCAGGGTTGGCCACGAAGTGGGCCCAGAACTCTCGTGGGGGGGCCCCATCACAGGGATCAATGCAGGGGGCAGGCCACTGAAAGCACGCCTGAAGCTGCACGCACACGCGTCGGGTCGCGGTGGTTTCGCGCCACTGTGCCGTAGTCATTTAGGCACCACTAGGCCCCGCCAATTATGTGCCTGGGCTGTCACTCACGCCCATGCCAGCACTTAAGCTCTGCATCCACACGCCACGCCTACCGACATGGCCGTTCATCTTGCCGCACCCGTTGAGGGAGAAATCAGCGGTCAATTGCCCGGGCAGATATTTATCTGCAAACTAAAAAGTAGGTAGTGTGGATCCCAACTTTAGAAATCCCGTAGGCCCAAGCAGAGGAGGGAAGGAAGAGGAGGCGGGAGGAACCCAAAAGGCAATGGACTGCCCAAAGATTAAAACAGCCAAGGCACAAGCGCCAACTCTCGCTGGCCGTGCGCTCAGTCGCTGATCAAGCCGAAAAAAAGAACAAAAAAGGAGAAACAAGTGCATGTGAAAACGTCAAAAGGAGGGCAGCAGAAAGGCAACGGACACAAACAAAAACTACCCAGCCACAGCGGCCAACAGTCAACCCCCATCAAATGCAAGCGAGAGCAGAACCAAGAGTCAAAGTTTCGTAGCCGTGGCCCTTTCAATGTTCATCGCCCCGGTTCAGGCCACAGAGGGGATAGAAAAATCATAAAGCTTATAGATACCATGCTCCGGTTTTTTATGCCATACCCATTCCATCGTAAAGAGAGAAGGAAGAAAGGGGAGGGTAAAGAGGAAGAAAATGCCCCATGCTCCCCGCCACTTGCAAACAACTCCTACAATTACCCGGCAGCGACTGCAGAGTCCAAATGAAAAGAAAGAAGAGAACGAACCATGATAATACATAGGCAAACGTATCTAAGACAGGTGGAATGCTCCCTGGCCCTCCTTCATGGCCGTCATCAAGCGTCGCTTCAGCACATCGATCGAAGTGTAGTCGGGAAGCTTCAGGTAGTTCACGCATGTCATAACACTCGGGAGGTAGTCGTTAGACGTGTATGGCTCCTCGCTGGGCTTGCAAACCACCGTGAAAATGGGGTTCAGACTCTTGAAACCTAGAGGCATAGAAGTTATGGTCAGCAAGAGAAAGCGGGATCGTCGAGTGCCGCGCATGTAAGGACATGTGATCCAAGAATAGGCGAAACATACCTCCAATAGGGAGCTTGGGGCTGCCGGTGGTAAACTGCAGGAAGTCGCGTCGCTCGGCAGGCGTCAGCTCGCTCATGAATTGGAGCAGGTTCTTGACGTTACGGCTATCCATATTGTAGCCGTGGTCCGCCTTGATCGAATCCATGAGAGCTGGAGCAAGAAGACGTGGATAGTCAGTATGCGACAACAAACAGGCGGCCCACCAGATAAACGATCGCGGGGGAGGAGACACCTACTTTCAAGAGACCAGTCTTCTTCGACACGCCCAAAGAGAGACACGAGCTCGTCAGGCGTGAAGGCGCTGAGGGCCGAGTAGGGGAAAACCTGAGAGAATCCCTTGCGGAAGGCGTCGATCTGTCTGCGCACCCCGCTGCCGAGAGTCATGTCAAGGACCTTCTCCAGGTACAAGTCGACATTCTCGATGGTAAGGTTCACGTGCGAACCGTTGGGCACCAACTCGATGTGCGGCTGTCCAGGCATCGTAAAGTCCAGCGAGAGGTCTTCGATGCGGGTGTGGTTGACCATGATGCTCTCCGTGTCGGCAACCTTCAGCGCTGGCGTGCGGCGCGGGTCCTCGTCAATCTCCTTCTTGGCGAGCGAGAACTTCTTGATCAGCATCAATGACTGGGCGAGGACAGGGTCCACGGCCTTGACGGCACCGAGCGAGGGCCGTACGCCCGACTTCTCGTCGCCTATGCGGAAGAAGATGGGGTTGAGATTGATGTCGATGATGCGAGAGTCGATCATGGACCGGGCCACAAACTTGCCCAGCATCTTGAATAGGCCCAGGATCCGCTCGCTGTTGCCGCCTGAGCCCTCGTCCTCGCTGATGGGCCGCGGGAACAGGCCGTTGGGGCTGGCCACGAAGTCGTCCGAGTCGTGCGGGTCGGTATCGCGCCACAGCTTGAGCTTCTTCTTGGCGAACTCCTTGGACACGGTGCTGTAGAACTCGAGCGTGGGACCGAGACCGGTGCCGACCTCCTCAAAGTACTCGACCTCCAAGATGCTCTGGTTTGCTCCATAAAGCTCCATGACCTTGACGGCGGACTCGAGGATCTTGGAGCGCGAGATGCGCACCTTTTGCCGCTGGAGACGACCCAGAAACGGCCTGTCGTCCCGGCGGTCTCGGCGCGACTCCTCCTGTGATTGGGCGTTCTGCCATCGGTTCATGGACCGAGCGTATCCAAACGAGGTGGACTGCAGAAAGAGGTGCCGTGTCTCAAAGGGGAACAGGAACGGATACAGCCGAGCGAGGTCCTCACTCCAGCTCGGCAAACAGTTGCTTGCCACAATGAGTGGCTCCTCCAACTGACGGTTCAGCTTTGCCGTGAGCTTCGTGTTCACAAACTGAGACAGCGGCTCGACGTTCAGCTTGAGGGCATCCTTGTTCTCAACCAGGACGTCGTCTATATTGGCGTTTAGGTCGTGGAGCATCCTGAGCAGACGCAGAATGGAAGCAGTGGCTGGGTGCTTGGCCAGCGAGGCGGCCTCTCTACTCTCGGCAGTGGCTGCACCGCCCTCGAACGATGCGCTAAAGGGCGTGCCTTCGGCCCGCGGGCGCGGGCCCGGGACTCGGCGGAATTTGATGGGGTGAACGGCAGACCACACGTTCCGGTTCAGTTGATCGTCAGGCGTGGTGACGGGCGGCGTGTGTATGGCGCGGTAGATGGTGGTCTCGTTGGTGATCACCTTTCCGTCGAGGCTGAACTCAATGTGCCAGTCCTGAGGCGTGGCTTGGACCGCCGCCGCATACGACAAGGGCCGAGAGGGCCCGCCAGGCGAAGGGGAGTTCTGGAGCGCGGCGGCAAGAGCACTAGCCCTGCTCGTGGCGCTGGCGAGGGCCGCAGGGGGAGGCGGTGGAGCGACCGAGACGGACTGCGACGGCGTTGGGACACGAGTGCCATCCTCCTTGCGGGCCGTGATCTTTCCGCCAGCGGCAACCTCCATGTTGACGGCAGTCGGATCGGGAGTGGATTCGTCGTCCTCCATGTCCTCGTCGAGCGCACCAACAATCGCGTCCAAAGCACTGCTCTCACCCATCTCCTCGTCCTCCGCCAGCTGCTTCTCGTCGGCACACTCTAGGGCGCTGGCCAGATCCTCCTCCTCCTCCGGGGGCGGACGAGGCGGAGGGGGCGTATCTGCCGAGGCCGCCTGCCGGCGACTAGACCGTCGCAACACACCCTTCTCACGGGAAGCGCCAGTCGAGCTCTGCTCTGGGGTGCTAGGCGCATCGGGCTGTGGGTTGGACCTGGAAGACTTTGACTTGCGCGATGGCCGGGAGGCAGACGAAGAGGGTGCGTAGGGAGGGAACAAGGGCGGGGCGCCGGGGCCACCCAGGCCGGGTAGATGCTCCGCCAGTCGAGCGGCGGCCTCACTAAGGGGGATGCCGGCGGATCCGGCGGCCACGGCAGCCATGGCGCGAGACAGTGCGCCGCGTGATGCGTGTCGCGGCCTCTCGGACGCTGATATGCGAGGGCGAAGATAGTCGTCAAGGGACTTGAACGTCGAGATCGCATGGATGGAAACCATTATGTTGCGGTATGCCCGAGGGATCTCAGAGTCGTCGTCGGCGACAAGCTTGAGCCGAATTTGTTTGGCAAGCATGGACGCGGCGCTGCTGCGGTTCCCGTCGAACGAGTTGTGGTGGACGGTGATGACCTCGAAATGCTCAGACCTACTCAGCAGATCCTGAAGTTTATGGATCAAGACACTGAAGGGCGTCGCGGGCGAGTCGGCCGTGGCCGTCTTGGGCCTCGACTTGACTGTGTAGCCCATGAAGACCTGGAGGAAGTCGGACTGCGCCGCTGTCGCCAGACTTTCGTCCTGATTGTTGAATACCTCCTCCAAAACCCGCACCAGACCCGATGCCAGAAGCTCGGCGCTCGTGACGCTCTCGAGAACATCCGAGTCGAAATAGGACGCAAGCCGCTTGAACAATGCAACGCCGTTGGCCGGGACAAGGCTCTGGGCGCTCCGGTGGATGTAAAAGGCCTCGATCTCGGCCGCCAGAGCCGAGAGACTGTCGAGAATCTCGGTCGCCTTCTTCTTCATCAGCTTGCCGTGCTTCTCCGTCTCGTGCGTCTCAAGGAACTTTTTGGCGGCCTCGGTTATGCGCTGCCGCATGGAATCAGCACTGGATACAATGTGGCGAGGCGGCCCGTCGATGGACATGGTGGAGCCATCAGAGCTGGCTGGGGACCCAGATATGTCGTCAATCTGGTGCTCGTTTTCGTTCTCCTCGTCGTTGTCGTTCCCCTCGTCATCCGACGAATGGTGCGAGTGCTCCATGTCCCCGCCATCGTCGTCGCCGTCCTCGTCATCGTCACCATCCTCGTTGTCCTCGTCGTCCGAGTCTGGTTGGACCGACTTATCCTCGGCCTCGGCCGATGCGGTCGACTGTCGAGGGGTCTCAGGGCGAGCCTCGTCGGCGGCTTTGACACCCTCCTCCGACTGGGCCTTGGGCTCTTCAAGTGACAGCTTTGTTATCTCGGCAATGACGCCCTCCCGGTAGAGCTGGTACCGATAGACACTATCCAGCCGACTCATAAGCAGCTCGGTAGCTTGCAGGGCGGACATGACGAGCGTTGGATGGTCGCCCTGTGAGAGGATAGATGCAAGGAACGAGGCGTACGGCACAGCCTTGAGCGCCTCGGTGAGTATCTCCGTGTCGAGGTTTGACAGCATCTTCAACTGCGCTGTCAGCACCTTCTGCCGAACGCTGAGATTGACCGTGCTCGAGAACGCATCAGTCAATGTTGGGAAGAGGATGAGCGAAAAACGCCGGACCTCCTCCTTGCAGTCTTCCAACAGATCCACCCGCTTCTCGTTTGCCGTCTTCCTGCGGTTGCCGGAGCCTTGGGATGACGGCGTGACGGGCTCGGCCGAGACGTCGGCAAATTCACGGGACGTGGGGTCTGAGATGTTGAGCGGGGCAGGCAGAAGCTCGCAAACGACGTTGAGCGTCTCGATGATCTGCTCTCGTGGGCGGTGGATCAAAGCCTGCATGATAAGTACGCTGTCCAGCTTGGAAGCGACATCGTCGGTGCCGCTCGGGGGCGATACCCCCGTAAGGATCTGGTAGAGGGTCTCGACGATGTTGAGCCTGAACAGCTCGGCCGACAGCTGGGGGCTCGCGCGGGCAGTGTGTGCCAGGACTCGCAGGAACTGGGTGTGGATGCCGGGGCTGATGAGGTTGGTGGAGCCCGGCAGCAGCAGACGCAGCAGTGCCTTGAGCAGGTCGACGCTCACGAGCTCCTCCAGCTTGGACGGGTGGTAGCGGAAGCTCTCGACGATGCGGGAGACGCACAGCGATGCCTTCTCCACAACCCGCTGGTCGCTGCTACTAAGCACATTGAGCAAGATGGGCATGACTTCCTTGATGACGGGAAACGAGTCCTCGGTGATGTTCCGGCAGCAGTTGGCGGCGGTGGTAACGGCCGTCCGCTGGGTGCTCGTGGCGAAGAACTCGAGATACGACAGACAGGCAGTCAGGCCTCCCTCGCGAACGATACTGGCTGGGTACTCGTACGAGATCTTCTCAAGTGTGCTCAGGGCCTGTTCGGCGAGGTCGATGAAGGATATCTCGAGTAGCTTCTGGCAAAGGACAGGCACGGCCCCACCATAGACAACATTGGCGACGCTGGGAGGGAGCGCCTCCATAAGATTTGCCAGACAGCGGCAGGCCAGCAGCATCATCTCGGGGTTCTCCTCGCCCGTGATCTCGTGTGGCTGCATCAGGGCGACCAGCTCCTTGACGAAAGCGTCGGGAGAGAAGTGGCCAGACAGGTTATCTTCGTTGGACACCAGCAGAATCTCGGAAAGCTCCTGGAGAGCGATCAGTTGCATCGACGGGTCATCCTTCTGGCGCAGGCTGGTCAAGAGATCCCGCAATCTCGAGCCGATACCAGACATCAACGTGTGCAGCATCGGTAGAGAGACACCGAGACCGCGAGGAGGACCGCCGAAGCCACCAAACGGATCAATGTCGTCTTCATCTTCGTCTTCGTCTTCTTCGTAACGGTTGGTCTCGTCATCGTCGTCCTCATCGCTGTCCTCTCTGGCAGGCTCGGGCGGGGGTGGAGGTGGAGGCAGGTTGGCCTTCTGCGCCTCCTGGGTGCCCGTCATGGGCGTGTCTTGGTCGGCGTCGGCCTTGGGCGGGCGCTTTGAGGATCGACGGGTCGAGGTGGAGGCAGCTGAGCTTGCTCCCGGCTCTGTTGGGAGGCGACGCACTGTTGTCAGCTCTGACTGGAACGGCAGACCGTGCGGAAGGCGCAACCGCTGTCGGTTGTCAAGTTGAGCAATCTGAGGGTTTGCATCCGCGGGCCTACCTCCGGACGCATGGGTTGTTCTCTTACTCCTGCTCGGCTTCTGACTCGAGGACGACTCGGCCGGGCCAGAGGGGCCAGCGGCAGGACTATCGAATCAATCACATCAGCTCGGGTTCGCGTCAGAGGCGAGCATTGAAAAGGGAAGCGCGAGCTTACTCTGGGCTTGACATGGCCGCAAGTGCCTTGCCCTTGCGGCTGCGTGTCGAAGCGGCTGGCGACTGGGAGGGCGGCTGTGGCGGAGGCTGGTCCGGGGCGAGGGCCTTCTGGCGCTTGGGACGGCGAGCCGAGGTGGGCTGGTCTGGGGACTCGGGCTGGGAGTTGGTGGAGTCTCTAGACTTGCGTTTCCGGGTTGAGGCTCGCGCGGGCTCTTGATGGTGGGCGGGGGCAGCAGGCGCCTTGGGGGTGGTGGCGGCCGTCGCAGCCTGACGGGCGGGCGATTCTGCGGCTAGGGCAGGAGTGGTGGAGCTCGGGTCTTGGTCGTGGAGGGTTTGCGAGGGTGGCTGGCCTGCTTGGTTGGCAGCGTGACGAACCGACGAGCGGGTGATTCTGGAAGACATGGGGACATGTGTGAGCAGTGCTGGCCCAAACGACGGCTGGCCCAATCTATCACTCGGCGGCGAGCTCCTTGGGGGTCATGTCTCGCGGCAGGGCGCGGCCGCAGGTGACGACGACGACGAAGAAAAAGTCTGGGTGGATGGATGGTTAGGATTGTGGGTGGAGGAAGGAAGGAATTGTGTCAGGATGGGCAGTGTCGCGGCATTCGCTTCGGGCTGGCTGGCTGGCTGGCTGGCTGGCTGGCTGGCTGGCTGGCTGGCAGGCTGGGTTGGCTTGGTTGTGGCGTTTGCGTGGAACTCGAAGGCGGCGGGCGGTATTGAATAATCGAGCATGGGCAGAATAGGCTGGGTGTGACTGGGGTTGTGGGTTGCGAGCTCCGGTTTTTTGGCGGTGGTGGTGATTGTGGTGGTGGTGCTTGCTGTTCTGGGACCCAGCAGGCAGCCCTGGCAAAACAGGCGGGAAGAAGGCGCTGGCGGCTGGAGGGCACTCCTTCCGTCCCGCAAGGCAAGCCGTCCGTCAAGCGACAATCCAGCACTGTGGAAACCGGTAGGCTTGTGATTCGTGATTCGCAGGCTGGGCAGGATGCAGCAGGCCACCAAAACCAACCCCAGCCAGCGAGCCAGCAGGAAGCGAGCAGCAGCAGCAGCGACAGTGTCTGGTGAACTTATCGCGCCAGCCCTGCCTGACGACTCGTCTACCCTAGCGTGCAGTCCACCCGCAAACTTGCAGTGCAGCGCGGCCCCGCCAGTCGAGCGACAACGGACCGACCCAGTCGACGAGACACGGCAGAGCGAGAACAATCGAGTGACAAGAAAGGACGGTGTGAAAGGCAGGTACAGTGCGATGGAAGGTGGTCTTGCATAAAACCGGACATGGGCTGAAGCCAAACAACGATGGAAGACGAGGCTGGGGTGGGGTACCTGAGGGACGGACTCGACGAGACGGGTGGGCCCGACGAGAGCGGCGAGGGCAAGTACGCAGGCGGCACCACGGTGGCGGCAACAGGCGCGGCCGGGACGGGGGAGGCTGCGGCGGGCCGGGCGGTCGACGAGGCGATGGCGGCCGAGGCGCGGGACTGGGGCGCTCTGGCCTGGGCGGGGTGGCGGACGCGGGGGCTGGGGTCAGGGACGGCGGACGAGGAGGCGGCGGCACCGGCGAAACGGGCGAGGGTCGAGCGATGGCGACGCGCGGTGTTGTTGCTGCTGCGGGTGTTGCTGCGGGTGCTGCTGCTTTCGACAAGGACCGATCTGGTGCGCGGCGGGGGGCTATGCGGCATTCGTTCTGCCATGGATTACGCCATCAGGCGGGCTGACGCACAGGGGCGACGCTGTTGACGGGCTGGGCTGGCGGGCTTGGACGTGCTGCACATGTACCGCTGTCGGGTGCTATAGGCAGAGTCTGGCTGGCCTATCTGTGATAAACAGCTCGGAGATGGACGGCGGCTGGGTGGCATCTGTATGTGTACTTGGTATGTAGACGGACAGGGTGCCAGGGCTGCTGGGCCACAGTCCAGCGTCCACCACCAGATTGCAGTCGGCTCCGGCCCAGCCCACATATCCCACACCACTCCCACGCAGGGCCGACAGACCCCTGCCTCTCACGACCAAATGCCTGTGCTTGGCGTCCCTGACGTGCTCCAACCGCATTGGCCACCACGCCCAGGAACAGTCCGGAGGCCCAGCTCACACGGCGGGGGTCCGCGTTGCGTCTCGACTCCGTAAACAAGAGTGCTGCCGTTTTGACGTCAGAGGGGCCTAGAATCTCGTCCCGTGTTCTGGAAGCCAGCAACGAGACCAAGGTTAGACCAACACATAATGTTCCATGCGTAGAACTGCTTCCACTTTGCTTGCAGCCGGCTCGATTCCAGGCAAACACACATGCCCATGAGACGGATTATGTCGTTACACGGAGAGCACAGGGCAGTCGGTGTGCCTCCCTCATGGTAGCACATCTGCCGTCGAATCCAGGACGCCGCTCGTCCGATTCCAAAGACGGATACACAGTTGTGATACTATGGAAGCCGACGTGCTGCCCGTGTCCGAACCCTCGTGAGATCGTCACGGGTCGTTTGTGCAATCCGTGGCCATACAGCTCGCTAAAATGGAAGGCGATTAAAGTATATCCAATATCCGCTTCAACCATGTGTGGTGGCTCAATTGGGAAGTAGCCGACGATCGCAGGCGGTTGTAGTCGGCATTAGTTCAACGTCCAATGAGTATTATGTGGCCGGCGATTTTGATAAACACAACACCATCTCGGTTCTAGTACGTGCCCGAGATGCCCAAATAAACGAAACATCAACCTCTTTACACGCAATACTTGTGCAAAATAACCAAGATCCAAACCGTCGGCCAGCAGAGCCGTCCCGCTGTTCCGCAAAATGGGCACCCCAGACAGCCCCAAATCCAGAGACCGCGACAAGCCGAGGACAGCCAATGCGCTAACCCTAACAAGGCAGTGGCCGCGGCCCAGTCCCAGGGCGTCCACTACGTAATGCCCTCTTAAGCCGACGACTGTGATCTGTCGCCAAACCACCTCCGCCTCTTCCTTTTGAAACGAATGGCCTGAAATAGCGCAGCGCTGTTTTGATTTGACTGTATTTCTGTTCCCCCTTGATCATTCTGCATATGAACCGCCGCGAGTACCGACCATGAAAGCCCGCCTTTCCAGCTCCGCCAGCAGCCGCCCCCTGGCCTGCCTTGGCCGAAGATGGCAGCCCCGCCACGGCAGCCCCGTCCTTTTGTCGAGTAACAGCAGAAGCACACCGGCGGCAGCACCGGCCGGCAGCCCGAGGCGGCACGTTGGCGGCCTCTCCCAGAAGCCCGACTCGACATTCGTCTCGTTCCCCGGCGCGCTCAAAAGCGAGTTCACGTCCAAGTTCCAGTTCACGCACCCGGCCGAGTCGCCGGCGGTGCCGACCTACCGCACCGTGGACCAGCACGGCGTCGTGGCCGACCCGGACTTTGAGCAGGACCTGAGTGATGAGCAGGTGCTGGGCCTGTACCGCGACATGGTGGCCGTGTCCATCATGGACTCCATCATGTTCGACGCGCAGCGGCAGGGCCGCATCAGCTTCTATATGGTGTCGGCCGGCGAGGAGGCCGTGTGCGTCGGGTCTGCCTCGGCCCTCGAGAAGCGCGACGTCATCTTCTGCCAGTACCGCGAGCAGGGCGTCTTCCGGCACCGCGGCTTTACGTTCAAGGACTACATGGACCAGCTGTTTGCCAACAAGCACGACCCGGGGCAGGGCCGGAACATGCCCGTCCACTACGGCAGCAAGGAGCTGAACATGGTATGCCGCATCCTAGCCGCCGCCCCAGGGACGAAGGGTCTTGATCTGACGTGAGAAAAACAGCACACGATATCATCGCCCCTGGCCACCCAGATCCCGCAGGCATCGGGCGCGGCGTACGCGATGAAGATGCAGCGGATCCAGAACCCAGACTCGCCCGAGCGGGTCGTGGCTGTGTACTTTGGCGAGGGCGCGGCGAGCGAGGGCGACTTCCACGCGGCGCTCAATATCGCGGCGACACGGGCGTGCCCCGTCGTCTTCATCTGCCGCAACAACGGCTACTCCATCTCGACGCCGGCGCTGGAGCAGTACCGGGGCGACGGTATCGCCAGCCGCGGGCTGGGCTACGGCATCGACACGGTGCGCGTCGACGGCAACGACCTGTGGGCGGTGCGGCGGGCCACAAAGCGGGCGCGCGAGCTGGCGCTCGAGGGCGGCGGCAGGCCCGTGCTGGTCGAGTGCATGACGTACCGCGTCGGCCACCACAGCACGTCGGACGACTCGTTCGCGTACCGCGCGCGCGTCGAGGTCGAGGACTGGAAGCGGCGCGACAACCCCATCTCGCGCCTGCGCAAGTGGATGGAGGGCCGCGGCATCTGGGATGACGATAAGGAGAAGGAGGCGCGTGACGGCCTGCGCAAGGAGATCCTCAAGGCCTTTTCCGAGGCCGAGCGCGAGAAGAAGCCGCCGATCCGGCGCATGTTTGAGGATGTATACGAGGAGATGACGCCGGACCTGAAGAGCCAGATGGCGCAGCTCAGGAGCCATATTGACAACTACCCGGACGAGTACGACCTGGGCGAGTATGAGGGTGGGAAGGAAAGCTTGGGTCCATGAGTAGTTCGGGGAAGTTAGTTATCTAGGTGGGTATACGAGCAGTTGAAGTTCATCAACCAGCCATCAGATCCTGCTCAGATGTGTTTTCTCTGCCTACCTAATTGTGATCTTTTTTCAACCCAATCCGGCTGGCCTAGAACTATAACCCAACTCGCCAACAACGCGTCAACCATCAACTTGAACAATATTTACCCACCTCTTCAACTACATCATCGATTCCGCTCTGGCCCGCCTCCAAACAAACAACACTTCTATCCACACAGCAGATGCGGCAACATGAACCAAAACGGCGAGATCGCACTCATCATCCTCGGCGTGCTTCTGGTCATCGCGCTCACCGTCTACTTCGGGCGGGCCCTAATGGGAAAGTTTGTCGACCAGTCCATCAAGGACGGGACCGCGCCGACCGAGACCAGCGATTCTGCTGCGTGAGAAAGACTGCGTGAGTCGGTGTGTTCCTGGTCTCTTGCTCGCTGACAAGCACTTGGAAAACGGACTGCGCACCGTTTCCGGAACGGCAGGACAGTGCATGGCGTTTCCCCGTTTGAGTTCCATCGCAGAGACCCCGCGACGGGGGCGGCGCACAGACCGTTGCCGAGCACACCCCTCCTTCCCCCACCCTTGTCGCAGCTTGAAGCTTGGCTCCAAGCTTGAGCCACAACTGCAGCCACACGCGACCCGGGCAGCCACAGATGTCTTTTGGCGCAAAGAAACCGTTCAGTGATGGACTCCTGGGAAAAAGGACCACAGGCTGACAGAAGACGACGGTCCTTCCTAGCAGACTCACCCAACGCCCGCTGCCGAGCGCCGTCGACACAATGGCTGCGCGCCCAGCAGCACTCTGGGCAGCGGCCCGCCAATGCGCGCCGCGCCGGCCCCTCGCAGCCTCTGCCCTAACACATGCGACCGCAGCATCACCAATACGCTCTCCACGCCCTCTCTCGACATCCCACCCCAACGATGCGACTCCCACCAGCGGCAACACCGACAACAACACCTCGGACCCCTTCGCGGCACGCCGCACAAAAGCCACCCACTTCGGCTTCGAGACCGTCACCGAGTGGGAAAAGACGGAGCGCGTGGCGGGCGTCTTCCACAGCGTGGCCGACTCGTACGACAAGATGAACGACCTCATGTCGTTTGGCTGGCACCGGGTGTGGAAGGACCACTTTGTGCGCGGCCTCAGCCCGGGCCTGTCGCCCGACCCCTTGAACCCGTCGCCCATGCGCGTCCTCGACGTGGCCGGCGGCACGGGCGACATCGCCTTCCGCATGCTGCACCACGCCCACGTCGTCAACTCCAACCCAAACGTCCGCGTCACCATCTCCGACATCAACCCCTCCATGCTGGCCGTCGGCCGCTCCCGCGCCGAATCCCAGCTCCCGCCCGGCCAGCTGGCCGCCCTCTCCTTCCTCGAGGCCGACGCGACCGACTTCCTGGATGAACCCTCGCCGTCCCACCCCAATCCGGCCCGACCCCGCCACAACGTCCCCGCCCCGGGCAGCCTGGACCTCTACACGGTCGCGTTCGGCATCCGCAACTTCACAGACATACCGGGCGCGCTGCGCGAGGCGTACCGCGCCCTGCGACCCGGCGGCGTCTTCGCCTGCCTCGAGTTCTCAAAGGCCGACGCCAACCCGCTCTTCAACGCCGTCTACAAGCGCTGGTCCTTTGGCGCCATCCCGCTCATCGGCCAGCTGGTCGCAGGCGACAGGGACAGTTACCAGTACCTAGTCGAAAGCATCGAGCGCTTCCCCTCACAGCGCGACTTTCGCGACATGATCGCCGCCGCCGGCTTCGACGTGCCCGGCAAGGGCTGGGAGGACCTGACGGGCGGCGTGGCCGCCATCCACAAGGGCGTCAAGCCGCTTGACGGTTAGACTAGGGATTCCTCTAGACCTTTTTTTTTTCCCCACTCTTCTCCCTTTGTACCTGAGCCTCATATTTTTTTTTTTTTCATGCATTTCACCTTCTCGTCATGTGTTTGACTCTACAGCACGGCATTTACGGAGCAACCAAAAGGAAGGGAGGAAATCTCAATACGAGTAATTGTCTTCGTTGGAGACAGGATAGATGTACATTAACTGAACAAGCAGCAAGCATTCCAAGCTGCGAACCGACTGTGTGACGAAGATATACTACTGGTGATCGCTTCACCTTCCGCTGTGAACCAGCTTAGAACTGCCCTTGTTCGGGTAGGGAGCAAAGCCAAAGGAGCAGGCACCCACCAAGCTGCATACAAGAGGCATCAAACATCCTCACACAAGGCCCCCGAGCACAACTCAGACCCCGCGTCTGAATGAGGAACCATACATTATCTGATTTTTTTTTTTTTGTTATTTGTTGTTTTCCTGCATCGTCCCAGAGGCGCTCCTCCCCTCCGACCCTTCCATCGTACCAAACAAAAGGACGGAGCTTTTTTGGTCTTTGCTTTTCTGTCTCTCCCAACCCCCCGACTCCCGTAATCCCTCTCGCACGCTCTGAAAGTGTGAATCCTGCGAGGTTGAAGAAAAGCGAAAATGTTTAAAATAGACAACGAAGAATTTCAATTAAGACCGGCCAAGGCAGAATGGATGTTGGGTGGTTTGCCTTGGTTCCAGATAAAGGTGTTGTGACAAGGGCGGCGTAAAACAAAGCAAGAGAAAAAGAGACCGATGAACAGACCCAAGTCAAAAAGAAAGCCACAGACCGTCCAGATGGGAAAGGGAAGGTTGGAGGATCAATGCAGCGCAGGCGACCCAAGGACAAGGGGATATGATCCAGGGAGACACAAGCAAGAGCTTCGCCCGCGTCGAGAGGAGAAACGCAAGACAAGTAAGCTAGTGCGAACAGCGAAAAGAAAAGAGACAAACACCGTCGATGACAACTGCTTGCTCCCTGGCTTTTTTCTCTTCGCCGGCGTCGTGGCCCGACTGATATGATCAAGTCCCCAACATTACTCGGCTGGTGCCGCAGACGAGGGCGCGGGGCTGGCGCCGCCGCCCTCACCCTTCATGCCGCCGCGCGGCCCACGGCTCCTGGGTCCACGGTCACCTCCCCGGTTGTCACCGCGATCGCCGCGGTCTCCACGGTCTCCACGGTCTCCACGGTCTCCACGGTCTCCGCCGCGGCCACCACGGCCGCCACCGCCACGGCCGCCTCGCCGGCCCGCACCCTCCGAGTCGCTGGCCGTGCCGCCACCTGCACTACGGTAGCCAGCGTTGGGGCCACCGGGGCCTTGTGGCCCATTGTTGCCGCGGCTGCTGCCCCAGGTGCCCGCGCCACCGCGGCTACCAAACGATTTGTTGGGGTCACGAGGCTCGCGAGGCTCACGGGGCTCCCTCTGTTGGAAGATGCGAACCAGTGGCTTGCTGCGGTCCTCGTGCGCGCGTTGGCCCTTGACGTCCTCGGGCAGACGCGCCATGGCGCCGTCGCGCTCCTCGGTCGTCTTGAAGTGCACCACCTTGTTGGTGTGACCCCACTTATCGATCTTGACAATGCGCGCGTGGTCTTCCTCGGCGAAGAGATCACGCACCTGCTCGTCGCTCTGCGCGTTCATAACAAACAGACCGACGATGTTGTCCGTGTCCCGCCTGGGCGCTGGCGACGGCGCAGAGCCGTTGGCGCCAGGGCCCGACGACGGCTTCTCGCTTTCGGTAGGGACGGGTGTCGACGCGCTGGGTTGCGGCGTCGCCGGCTTGACGTGCGCAGCCGGCGCCGGCGCCGGCTTGACGGCCGACTCGGGCTGCGCCGAGTGCTGGCGCGAGGGGATTGCGGCGGCGGCAGGGGCGTTCGGTGTTCCAGTGGGGACGCCAGACACATTGGGCTGCTGCTTCGCGCCACGGTGCGAGAAGTTGAAACCCTGAGCCCTCATTTCGGTGCCAATGCGGCCGTCTTGGATCTCCAGGACCAGGTAGCCAAAGGCAGCGTCGGCGAGGTTGAAGTTCCACATATTCTTGAAGGCACTCTCGTCGACCTGGCCGTTTGCGGGGCCGACGGCGCCGCCAAAGGGGTTGCCGCCAGCAGCCGTAGTGGGCATCTTGTCGACGATGTCGAGCGCATTCTTAAGCAGGTTCTGTTGGGCTTCGTTCTGTTGGATGGCGGGCTCTACCTCATCCTTGACCGTGTTCCACACATCGTTGAACGAGGCCTTGCTGGCGGCCAGCTTTCCGCGGTAGTGGTCGAGGGTGGGGTTCACCGAGAACTCGTTGTACGAACTGCCGTAGCGGAAATGCAGGCCGGCCGAGATGGAAAAGTCGGCCTTGAGGGTGACCGACAGCTGGTTGAGAATTCCCTCACGAGCGGGGGAGGCGTGGGTGACGAAGACGCGCGTCTCGGTCGGGTCGTAAACGCGGTTGGCCGTGTCGACAAGCTCACCCATCTGCAGCAGCGTGGTCCACATGGTACCCTGGCCGCCAGCAATGGTCGTCCTGCCCTCGCCGTTGTCAAACAGCTTGTGCATGACGACGGCGCCGCCCAAACCCAGCAGCCGAAGCTTGACGCCACCAATCTCGAGCAGCATCGACTGGGCCTCATCGATAATGAATAGGTTGGTCACCTTGTACTCCTTCGACCGAAACTTTTCCAGTACCCGTACATCCTCACAGGCGCCCCAGACCGTGTAGACGGGAACATCGAGCTTGAAGTCGCCCTTCAGCAGCATCGACAGCTCTGAGAGGGGGAGGTCATGTGGGGCAAACCGTTGCTTCACCGGGCCGCCGCCGCCAGTCTGGATCTGCTTCTTGACATGCTCAGGAATGAGCGGAGAGTACTGAGCCACGTGCTTAAGAGTCCTGCAGATAGAGCGACGAGGTGAGGCCCATGGTTAGCCTTCTTGGAGGGGGAACTTCGGGGGCTCAAATGTGGCATGTGGGGGAGCAGGCTGGAGATGATTGTGTGAGGGAACTGTGCATGACTGACTTATCAGCGATCCGCTCCAGAGAACTGTCGTCGTAGAACCCAAAGTCTCCCGTGTGAACAATGTAGTCGGCGCGTGCTTGCTTTGCAAGGTCGTTGAGTGATCGTAGGTTTCCTGTTGTGGAGGTGGTTGGCAAACCAGGTTAGCAACAGGCCCAGCCCAACTCCGAGAGTGCGAGCGGGCGCGGCGCGGCAGCCGGGCACAAACAAGCCAGCATTTCCATCTCATACCTCGAACGTCGGCGATGCAGAGCACTCGGATGGGCCCCGTCTGGATGATGCGACCCTGGTTCGGCAGCAGGGGAGTGGCGCCAGGAGGGACGGCGACAGAGTGGGCGCCGACAGCACCGTTTGGCATGTATCCCTGGTTGTTGCCGTAGCCCGGGTGTCTGGGTGGGTGCTGCGTCCGGGGGTAAGGTCTGGTCAGTATGGGCACGGCGATGCTTTGGGTGTGCACGCGAGTGGCGCTGGGTCGCGAGACGGTAAAGTTCCTGGTTGGCGTGGCTGCCTCGGCGACCACCGCAGGAGCCATTGTCGGGCTCTGTTGGCCCGCGAGACTGGCGAGCGATGGCGGACAGGATCAAGCGAAGCCCGAGCAGAGTGGTGCGTGGACCTGTGCGTCAAGTCGGGCGGGGAATATATAACGGCCAGAGACAGGCGGGATAGGCAGGACAGGGAAGACAAGGCAGGAGGGCATCAAGGGCAGCTGAAGAAAATCTGAGGGAGCTCACAGATGCCATGGCTGGCAGCGAAAAAAGAGGCGGGCGGGAGACGGGACGTCAACGTCGTCGGAGCGGGCAGGCGCACTCGTGGGTTGTGGCTTGCGGCAGTGGTGGTGGTCGTCGGGAGGAAGGGTCGAGTGCTAAATCGGGGCTGGGGTGGTGGCCCAGGTCGACAGGAGTTGCTCTGGCGATGGCGCGCTTGCCGGCCACGAGGGTTTTAGCGAGAGGGGGAGGCGATTGCGTGCGAGGAAGGTTGGTGGCGGCGCGCGACTGCTGGTGGTGGGAGCGAAGTTTGCGCAAGGACGGTGGTGGTAGTGATGGTGTGGCGGCGCAAGAGGCAGGGCCAGGATGGTTGGTGGCAGGAAGGGCGGACGTTGATGCGATGCGTTGTCGCTGGCCTGCTCCAAATTGCTGCAAATGGTGGAGCCCAGGAAGAGGAGGAAGAAGCACGACCTAAAAAATTCCCGTCAAAGCAGGGACGCGCACAAAACACCCGCTTTGCTTTGATGTTTTTAATTTTCTTTCCTTTTCCTTCAAGGCAGAATTCAATCTGGTTGGGAACTTGCTGATATCAGTCGGATTCCTCTGCAGCTTGACGCTCGTTTGCTGTGTGCACCAAAGCAACCGCAGACCACAAAAAAGCTAGGTCAGCCTCTGGGGCGCACGGGCCATACAGAATACCAAGTGGGGCGTGAACGGCTGTCCTCAGTGAGGAGTCAGTCATGAAGGTACCTTCAGCAGACACCTCCACAGGCTGGTACTTGGAGAAACAAACAGTACTCCCGCAAATGTGGGCCTTCCCAGACAGATATGGTTTAGCGCGTATAGTTGGATCTTTGCTGGGCTTCGCTTCTGAGCCAATATTTCGGTAAGGCCAGGCCAGCAGCCAGACATGATCAACACCAACAAGGTGACATGTAAAGCGTAAAAAAAAAAAAAAAAAAAAGCCCCTTTCGCCGGCTATGCACGTACGCTTCCAGTATATAACACGGTATCAATGTTGATGGAAAAGGAAGTGAAGATAGAAGCAAGAGAAAACACCACCATCGCACATAAAAAGAACCGCAATAATAATGATAATAATAATGAAACACCGAGTGGCCGTGTAGAGAATGTCCAGTGCCTCCCGCCGTCGCCTGGGCAAGATGCCAGGAGTGGAGTGACATTTAATGGACAGGGACCCAGCTGGCCGGTAGGCAGACACTGTACCAATGTATAGGGAAGAATAAGATGGTAGAAACACAAAAGCAAAGACGACAGACGGGAACAAACAGGATGGAAACAGATATGACGGGTGTTTGGCTTAAAGTGGATATTTCAGTAGTTAGGGATACTTCGTCCCAAGGTGTATGTGGCCGTCTCTCGGGCAAAAATAACAAGATGCTTTCCCTCAGCTTGGAAGTGGCCCGATCTCGGCCGTTTTATTCACGGCCCGCACGTCAATCTCCCCCAAGCTAACTCGTGTGCGACACGGTCTATATGCAGTCAATAGATTGTTTGTGTTCATCTTTGGAACAGCGAGTGACAGAAAAGGTGAATGAGAAGAGAAGTAGCGATAACAGCCAGCCGCCAGAAGTGGCAGACACTAGGTGATAGGTAGATGGTGGGTTGCGAGAGAGACAGAGAGATGGAGGGCGAGCTAGCAGGCGGGAACCAAGCGAGATCTCCGGCTTACACGTGCTGACCATATCACCACATGTCATTATCGCGTCGCCGGTCATCCTCGTGCTGCTCGTACTCGTATATCTGCGAGTCGTCGATGTAGTCGAGAGAGCTATCGGTCTGCTGCTGAGGGTCCCCGTACTGGTTTGAGGACTGAGGGGAGGAGGGTCAAGAAATCAGCTGGGGCACTAACAGGGCCGGTAGGGTTGCAACCTAACGTACGCGGTGGTAGTCAAAGTTGTACTGGTCGAAGCTGTTCTGGCCACCGTCCTGTTCCGCCTCTTGAAGCTGTTGCTGCTCCAGCAGGTATTGTTGCTGCTGCTGCTGCTCCTGCTCGCGCCGCTTCCGCTCCTCCTCTTGTCGCTTTTGCTGCGGTGATACGGGCACGTTGAGCTGTGGGTGCATGGCCTGCACCTTGGCCAGGTACGAGTACATAAAGTTGGACAGGAGCACCTGGCTCAGAAGCGATCTCCGCGGGTTCGCAAGCTTGATGTGGGCCATCCGGTAGATTGCTCGTTCCTCCACGATCGGGAACCGCGTGTAGTGGTAGTCGACATCGGGCACGAGCTGCCTCGGGGGCGGTTCTGGCGATAGCGCGCGCTGTTTGCCCCGGCCGCCGCCGGCTCCCAGCGAGGACTTGGAGTCGCTCCCTCCGTCCTTGTCGCCCTTTGTCTTTTTGCTGCCAAAGATGGAGCCGAAGAAGCCGTCCTTCTCCTTCTTCCCTTCGCCCGATTTCCTGCCGCTCTCCTTCTTCCGCTCGTCGTGTAGCTTGTTCTCGGCCGAGTCGCGGTCTAGCAGAAGGCTTTCCCGGCCCCTCTGCAGCGCGTTGTCGATGCTGTTCTGGAGCACGTCCAACCTCGCGTTGTCGTGGCCTTTTTCCGCAGACGTCCTGCTGCGCGCCTTCTTGGCTTGCTCTTCCTTCTCCTTCTTTTTCTTCTCCCTGTCCTCGCCGCGGAACCACTTCCAGGCCGTCGACTTGGTGGACTCGCCCTCGTCCTTCTCCTTGGACTTCCTCTTCTCCTTGTCTTCAGCTGGCGACAGGGTGGGGATGAAGGTGAGGCTGTCGGTCCGGTTGGCGCCGCCGCTCCCTGGCGGAGACGTAAGGTTCTGTGCCAGGTTTTCAAGGCTCTGGGCCTTGGAGCCGTCTGTCGCAGGTGGAACCCCAGTCGGGCTGGGCTCGTGCGACTTGGCTGATGGGGGACGCTTCTGCGAGCGTGGAGGGAGTTGCTGATCGGCTTGTTCGTTCTCTGTCGACTTTTGCGATGACGACCTCTGCGGGAAGGCCACGGAAGACTTTTGGTCTGACGAGACGGAGTCGTCCTCTTCCTCAGGCCTAGGTGGTGGGGTCTCGACGATCTGCGGAACCGAAGGGGCGCCCGAGCGAGACGAGTCTGAAGTCCTGGGCCTCTCCCAGGCGCTGGGCTGTGTCGACAATGACGTGCCGGGGCTGATGGGGGTTTCGTCCACGTGCGATTGTGCGGATGGGGAGGAGGCTGCCGATGGATCCGTAGCTGAGGGCGACGTCGGTGACAAGACGTCTCTCTGGAACGGCTGCTGCCTCCTGACTGACCTTGTCGGGCGGGAGAAGTTCGTCTCGCCAGCAGCCACAGGCTCGCTCTGGACGCGGCTGAGGCCATGTCCTGGTGGGGTCGCTTCTATCTTTGGGATGGGCGGCACTGTCGGGTCATCGACGTCCTTGTCTCCGTCTTTCTCAGCGTCTCTGGCAGCAACCCGCTTGGCAAAAGGGGCGCGGTCCCCAGAGCGAAGGCTGCCTCCTTTCCTATACGTGGTTCTTGTTGATCTCCTGAGGCCCATGCCAGGAGCGACGGGCAGTATGGGCATGTCCCCCTGCGCGGCGGCTTCTTGGGTCTCCTGCGCTAGCCTTTGGACAGCCCTGGTGGGATCCTTGACGAGCTCGTTGAGACTGAGCTCCGGGCCAGATCTCCCGTTGGTCGAATGCTGACGCCCTAGCCGCTCGAATGCGTCGTCGGCTGCACTGCTGCTAGTGCTGTCGATCTGTCTCGAGAGCATCGACTTTTTCCTCCTCAGACCGGCCGAGTTGCTCCTGTCGAGCCCGTCGACCGACAGCATGGAATCGCCCGACCGCCTCTTGATGGTCTTGACCCTGTCTTCGAGAAAGTTTTTGAACTGATCTGGGGCCAGCTCGGGGTGCACCTTTGCGGGCACCCAGAGCAGGCGCGACAAGTCGCCGGCATCATCCTCCCCGCTGGGCGCTATGCTCGGCATGGCCATGAGCGAGATTCCGGAAAATGGCAGCAGGTCGGGGTCGCTGTTGTTTCCGACGTCCATGGACATGCGTCGGAGCGCCTGCAGGTTGCTGAGCTCCTGGGCGATGTCGTTGGGATTGTCAATGCTTCCTAGCGGAAATTGCGACGACTCGGCCTCTTGTACGTCCCGCAGTGACAGGGTTGGTGACATTGGCGACATGGGGCCTGGCGAGGCCGGACCGTCTGATGAGCCCGTACGCTTGCTCGAGGCGCGGGCGGGCATTGTTTGCGACTTTTTGAGGCCATTCGCGTCATCGTCGCCTGTAGGAATCGCCAAGGTAGCCATGGTCTTCTCAGATGTCGATCGCGCGAGCTTCTGGCGCGCTTCGGGGAGCACGTGGGCGGTGCCTTCGGGGGACCGTATCTGCTCTCCTCCGGCAGGCGAAGAGAGGAAGCTCAGTGGGCGACCTTTCCTGGCGGTCTCGGGAGAGGGTAGGTGGTCTTGGCGACTCTCGCGGCGGCTGTCGGGGCCCGACTCGTCGTCGCTGTCTCCGTACATGGTGCCTATTGCCTCAGTGACATGGTGGCTCGGGTCGGAGATGGAGAGTTGAGGGGCGTGGCCTCGTCGGCTCGAGAAGCTGCCGCCGACATCGCGGGGTCGAGACGAGGTCTAGAGATATCCACAGCACGGAGCAGCGAGTCAGCGAGACGATGAGACGACGGAGCGAGGCCAGGGCGGTGGCCAAGGCAGGCCAAGCAGCGGGGCCGATGGTAAAGACGAGGCTCGAGAGAAAGGGGCGCGACAGGGTTCAGGATCGGAGCCGAAGGGCGTAGATGCAGGCCGGGCAGGTTAAGGGTGGTGCCGGAGAGAGGCCCACAAATACCGCGGAAACCCTGCGGACAGCCGCAGGCGGCTGGGCCGGTCTGGAGCCTTGTGCCCACTTGTGACATGGTGGTGCAGGGCAGACGTTCAGGGGCGGGCCGGGGAGAAAAGCACTGGGGGCGGACAAACCATCATCTGCAGCTCTCAGACCGGGACAGCGTGCTGGCCCAGGCCAACGCTTCCCTGGGGCTTGGGAGCAAGCAGGCGGGCGGGCGGGCAGTCACGCGGGGACGAGGGCTTTAGTCCACGGGGTGGCTCTATCATGGGCGAGACAATCGGGAGGCGGGATCGGCGGAGGAGTCGGTCGGTTCTCAAGAAAAGGGGGTGCGCTGGCGCAGTGGCGGTGGTGGGACGAAGGGAGAGCGAGCAAGGCTCGGGGCCGCGCGGGCAGTTGATTGAGCAACGCTCGGCAGCGGCAGCAGTTTGCCAGGAGTAGTGGTCGCCGTGAGTTAGACTCGTAGCGGGCGCGGCGAGGCTCGGGTGAGGGCGGCTCTGGGTGAGTGCGGGCTGGGTTGTGGATGTGGATGGCTGGAGCCGATCTTGGATCTGGTCGTCTGTGTCTGTCCAGGTCGGGGTAGGTTGTAGAGTTGAGGTTCGCTGCCGGCAGGAGAAGGCGGGCTAGTGCGGTATTGGCTGCTGCTGGATCCTCAAAGCAGGCCAAGCATTGCCGTCTGCATGGTGTTGGCTCTGGCTCAAAGGGGGAGAAAGGCCCAGGACTTGCAAGGAGGCGGGCGGTCAGGATGGATCGCAGTACGGGCTGGCAGCTGGCAGACCGCTGGCGAGCCCCTGGGATTCCTGGCTTGTGCCTGCTGTGCTGCGGCGTCAGTGGGCGGGCGTTGGGCGTGGCTTGCCGTTGTGCTGACGCCACGGGACCTCCACTGGCCGCATTGGGAAAGGGAGGCATCACGTGGGATTCATCCAGCACACACCCGTGGCACCCCACCAGGACAGAATGAGGGGAGCTGGAACTGCGCTAGCCGCCCGCCTCGAGAAGCACTGAAGACGTGAATCAAGCGATTGAATCACATACATACCTGGCACACCAGGCAATTCATGACACGCGCGCGCCACAGCCAGAGTCCAAATTCCCGGGACCATTAGTGGCATGTCCAAGCCCAGCCATCCCTTTATTGGTGGCCCTGCCGCTGTCCAATCTCAATTGCTTCTGTCGCTGGTGTGGTCCTCTGTCGGGACGATGGGGCTACTACGCGCACAGCGACGGGCGACAAGCCATGACCGGACGCCAGTCCAGGAACCATCTTACCATCGAACCATCTAACCGCCAAACCATGGCCTTGGTCCCCAAGCTATACGAAACAAGTCACCGCGAGAGTCCGAGCGAGCCGGGGATCGCGTGGCTTCAACCGTCGGACACAACGGCCCGCGTCGTGCGGAGAGAGAGTGAAAGGGAGGATGGACATCTGCCAATCATCCCCCCAGACCTTTGGAAGACGGCAGTCCAGATGTCTCTCTCGGCAGCAAGCAGCCCAAAACCAGCATTTGCACAGCGTCTCCACCATCCCCCGCACTTCTCTCGGCATGCCCACCCAACTGCCGAACTCCAGAGATGCCCTGTCTTGTGCAACCCCGGTTTCTTTCTTGGCCCAATCGTGGCATCTGCAAAGTTTCGACCCTGGCCCGACAGCGTTGTATCAAACCGGGTAGCAGATATGGGGTTGTCGTAGATATACAAATTGCTCCTGCTGTCCTTTCGTTCTCTGGTGGTTTCTCTTTCTGCTATCATGGCCTGCAGCCTGCCTAGCTGTTATATAGCCCGAGACTGAAGCCACAACGAGACGACATCTGCCTGATCACTTATCTGTGCCCTACTCCGACATAGTCATCCACGGCAATGGCGCCCCCAGCCAAGCCCGTTCGTCTGGTGCGGAGGTGAATATATCCCTGTGCTTTGCCACCGGTGATGGTGATTATCCATCCACACAGGCTTACACGAGTAACAGCCATGCCCACGCTGGAGACATTCCCGGCACCGTCGACCTCACAGCTGCTGGTGCGTCAGGCGGCCTCGATGTTGGCCACAGGGAGAATGCCGACGTGGAATCTAACAGAATAACGCAGAGGGCGATGACACCGCTTATGGGCAGGCACTGTTCCCGGTCCCAGCCTTGGATCCCAACGATCCGCTTCAGGTACTTCATCATCTTGCGAACAGCATCTTTCTTGGATGAAATGCACCAACTGACACCTTTCCCCTCTGCAGTGGTCAAGCGTCAAGAAATCCCTGATCCTCATCGCCTGCTCGCTCTACTCGTTCCTCTCCAATACGGCCCTCCTCGGCCCGTCTGTTTACATCGGCATCTACGCCGCCGAGTTCAATGTCTCGCCCAACGAGGCATCGGGTCTAGTCAGCTACGCAAACCTGGCCTTTGGGTTCGGCTCGCTACTCTTTGTGCCGCTCTACCACAAGTTTGGCCGACGGCCCATCATGCTAGTCTCTCTGCTGTTTGTTCGTTGAACCCGACATGCGCAATAGGCAAAGACTGCCACTGACCCCTGACGGCAGTACTGCGGCGGCCTGATCGGCTGCGCCCAAGCCACATCGTTCGCGACCCTGATGACCTCGCGCGTCATCCACGCCTTCGGCTCGAGCGTGTGCGAGGCCCTGCCTGTGCAGCTAGTCAACGACATATTCTTCCTGCACGAGCGCGGCAAGCGTCTGGGCTACTACACGATCTGCCTCTGCCTCGGCGCCACCGGCCCGCTGTACGCCGGCTACATGCTCGAGGGCGGCTACTCGTGGCGGCTCTTCTTTTACGTCGAGTTCGCCTTTGCCGTTGCCCTGCTGATCCTGGCCTTTTTCGTCGTGGAGGAGACGTGCTATCATCGCGATGAGGCGGCTGGTGCGAGTCGCGACGTGTCCGCAGGAGGTTCGGATGGCGAGAAGCCGCCGGTGGCGGCCGATACTGAGGAGAACGTGGGGGTCTCGGCCGAAGAGAACATTCCACCCCGAAAGACGTTTGCCCAGACACTCAAGTTCTGGGGGGTCTGGGAGCACGACTCGGACTTTTTCATCATGATCGCGAGGTCCTTTACCTACTTTCTGGTGCCTCACGTCTTTTGGGTGGTCACCACATATGGCATCTACATCGGCCTGGGTGCCCTCACCTTCAACTTCATCTTCCCGCTCAAGGTGGTGCAGCCGCCATACAACTGGTCCCAGACGGACGCGGGCCTGCTCGCCGTCGCAACCGTCATCGCCTACGTGCTGGCCTTCTTCTTCACATCGTCGTCGGACCGGCTCGCCGCACTCCTCACCAAGCGCAACGGCGGGATCCGCGAGGCCGAGATGCGACTCGGGGTCATGCTGCCGGCCATGGTGATTGCACCCACAGGGCTCGTGCTGTTCGGGCTCGCGGCGGAGCGGAACCTACACTGGGTGGTGTACTTTTTGGGCGTGGGCTTTACGCAGTTCGCGTCCTACTTCTACTTCACCTTCACGCTCGCTTACGCCATTGACAGCTACCAGTCCAACATCAGCGAGATGCTCATTGCTATGAACCTGGGAAAGCAGGCCATCAGCTTCGGCATGGGCATCGACTTGCTCGAGTGGGTCACGACACACGGATACGCCGTCATGATTGCCGGCGTCTTCATGACGCTGCTGCTGCTCAACAACCTGGCGCTCATTGTGTTTATGGTGTGGGGCAAGCGCATCCGCGCCTTCATGGCCCGGACGTGGCTGGCCAAGGTGCACCGGAGCAGCATCCGGGAGGTGGCTACGCATTGATTCTGGTTACGTGGGGGCGATATCAAGGGGCTACGCTGAGGGTAGGTATGGAACGCACACGATTGTTTGAGATATGGATCAATTTCTCCAAAGCAAAACCTGAGTTGGTCCGCTGAATAGTTGCCTAATTGCATAGAATCCACGCAATCCTGAACGCCAAAGAAATGCTACAGGTACATGCCGAGACTGTCGGATGCCCCCCACCGCCGAACGCCATGTTTATGTAGATGATGGAAGAAAAGAAATAGAAAAAAGAAATGGGTATCAAAGAACAGGGAAGAAGAGAAGAAAAATACAAAAGTCAGTATGATCACCAGCGGTCATAAACACTGGAACCTTGACAGTGAGGCGCCCTGCCGTGGCTGACGAGACACTGCCTCCGCTTCTCCCACTCGGCGGCCGTGCGGCCGTGACTGCGGATGGCGACGACGACGAAGAAGACGAAGAAGCCGACAAAGGAGAAGATGAAGAGCCCGAACAGCAACAAACCCAATATCTGGGCCTGCTGGCGGCGACGGGCGGCCTGGTAGAACTCGGAGGCCCGGGCGCCGTGCCACTCGGGGTCGAAGTTGTACTGGACGCGGGGCTGGAACGGGCGGCTTGCTCGCGGTTGGTGCAGCTGGGCGGCCTGTTCGCTGCTGTTGACCAGCTCGAAGACGCGGTGCAGGTGCTCGCGGATCAACGCCGCGCGCTCCTCGTCCTGCTCGTCGTAGGGCGGGGGCGATGGCGGGCGAGGGAAGGCGGTGGTCGGTTCCAAGTCCTCGGGGATGGACGGGAGCTGCTTGGTGGTGTTGAGGGTCGGGGACCGGGAGCGCGAGCGGGCGCGGGGCGAGGCGGCGGGGGATGAGAAGCCGCTCATTGTGCCGTCTGTCTAGTGCTAACCTGGAAGTGTTAGGAGGTTATTTGAGTTGCTTGACTGTGTCTGTGTTAGAGTGCCCTGGGTTCGTGGGATGGCCTGTTCCTGTTGTTGAAGGCGCTAGAAGATGCTTGTAGTATGTCGCCGAGATTCGGAGCTGCTGGTTTTTGGTTTCGTCGTTACTGGTACATGTAGGTTCCTGAGAAGACAAAAGACGGTGGTTGTTCTTGGTCCAATGTCTAAAGCGCGCATTGTGGCCCATACATATGCATCCACCCAGCTCCCATCAGCTACTGCTGTGCCGTCCATCATCCTTTATCGACCATTGACCTTTACAGCCGGCTTTGTGCTTGTCTTGGTGGTGTGCAGCCTGTCCCAAAAGGTGTAGCTTACTCTTTGGCGGGGCCGCACGACAGGGGCTCAGTATTGGCCGTGGCTGAGCCCCGTCTCTTACTGGCAGCCACACCCAGACGCCGCCGTCGTAGTAAAGGTAGTCGCCAATTAGCTAGCCTCTTGTCAGATACGCAAAGCAAAGGCGGGTAGGCTGTTGATGGCTGCAGTCTCGGAGCTCGCGTCTGCCAGTCCAAGTCAGAAAGCACCGGATGTTGCAGGCATCTTCAAGGCGGAAAATTGCACAGGTCTCGGCTGTGGTGGGGGGGGTGGTCTGTCGAAAAATAGCCTCCAGCCCTACCAGGCGACATCCAGTTGTCGGCGGTGCTATCATTGGCTGGCCATCTTCCTCTTTGACGCTAACCCTTTTTTCATGGATTGTCTCTCCTTCCCTCGGACAATTGCCGGCGACGCTGTCATTGGCTGACCATCTCGCTCTTTGGCACTACACTGTAAACTTTTTTCCACGGATTGCTTGACGGATGTGCCTTTTTGTTCGCCAACCTCTTCTTCATTGACCCTACCCCCTTTTTTTTTTTTTTTTTGACGGGTGAACGTAACTTCCCAAGAGTCCAGTCCACCTTCGTTCTCGATGAAAAACTAAATCGGCGGCTCCATTACCTTAGGGCGTCTCTGCGTATTTTCAAGCCTTACATCATCGTCCTTACATCAACATCTCGTTCTTGACAATGCAGCCGGGCATCTCTATCTGCCGACAACCCACGCATGACGATTACCAACGCCAATAATGAGCAATCTCACCACCCTGCCTCTGGCCTTTTGCATGAGGAAAGTTACATTGCGCACGCCTGGATATCCCCCCTGCCCCGGCGCGGCTTCCCCGCAATCGCCGCCCAAAGCGGACGAGCCCGACCGTAACGCGTATTTTCCCCGCTAGAATATCGACGAACCCCTGAGCTGCCGTCGCCCAGCCCCTGATTCCACGATTTGGAAAGGCTTGGCCCGAGGCGCTCGCATGCCCTCGTGCCTCGGCGTCGTTTAGGGGGGAGAGCTCGCTTATCGTACAGGACGACATACAACGCCACCCCGCAGGTAATAAAGAGCCGACGGGGGAACGCTCTTTCTCACGATGCTGCTGCTGGCGTCTCTCCCTCCCCATCCGGCACTTGGTCTCTCAAGGTCCGACTGAGGAAGAAAAAGAGAACCACACATTCTTTTTTTTCACTTCCAGCCAGCAACCATGCGCGCGCCCTCGACATACCTGGGCCTCGCGCTCCTGACCACCGCCGCCGCCGCATCGCAGACGTGCGACCTGCTCAAGGCCGGCGGCAGCGTCGACGTGCAGACGGACCGCTTCGCCATCCCCAAGGCGCCCTACGCGGCCGAGCTGGACGAGTACTGGTCGCGGGCGTCGGCGGACCTCAAGCCGGCGTGCGTGGTGCTGCCGACCTCGGCGCAGCAGGTGTCCGAGGTCGTCAAGGCCCTGGGCGCGTCGGGCAACAAGGACACCTTCGCCGTCAAGGCCGGCGGGCTCAGCGCCAACGACGGGCACAACAGCGTGCGCGACGGGGTGCTCGTGTCGGTGCGCCGCCTGACCGAGGTGCGGTACGACGCCGACAAGAAGCTGGTGCGCGTCGGCACCGGCAGCCGCTGGACCGAAGTGCAGCGCGCCCTGGACCCGCACGGCGTGACGGTGGCGGGCTCGCGCGTCGGCGAGGTCGGCGTCGGCGGTTACATGAACGGCGGCGGCTTCTCGTTCCTCAGCCCGCGCTACGGCTGGGGCGTCAACAACCTCGCCGCGGCCGAGGTGGTGCTGGCCGACGGGTCCGTCGTCACGGCCTCCAAGACGGAGCGCCCGGACCTCTTCGCCGCCATCAAGGGCGGCACCAACAACTTCGGCATCGTCACCGCCTACGTCATGGACGCCATCCCCATCGGCCAGGTCTGGGGCGGGCTCATGTTCTTCACGGGCGGCAGCGACAAGGCCGACAAGATGCTGGCCGCCATCGCAAAGTTCACAAACGAGTACCCGGACCACCCCAAGGCCGCCATCATCCCGACGGTGCAGCTGGTGCTGTCGGGCCTGATCGAGCTCTGGGTCGTCTTCTTCTTCTACGACGGCCCCACGGTGCCCGAGGGCGTCTTTGACGACTTCAAGGCCCTCCGCCCGCTCCTCAACACGTGCAAGACCCAGAGCTACGGCGACCTGCTGGCCGGCAACAGCGCCATCGTGCTGCGCGGCACGCGCTACAAGGTGGCGACCGAGACGGCCGTGCTGCCGACCGACACGTCGCCCGGCTCGATGCTCAAGGTCATGCGCGCCTACTACGACCACTGGAGCAAGGTGTCGCGCGACTACGGCGGCATCCTGGGCCTGACGAGCAGCATGGCCATCCAGCCCGTGCCGCGGTCCATGGCGGCCGCGGCGCGCGCGAGGGGCGGCGACCTGCTGGACATGGACGCCGACGCCGACCGGCTCATCTACGAGTACGACCTGTCGTACCTGGCCAACTGGGACGACGGCCTGGCCGAGCGCGCGGCCGACGACATGACCAAGGGCATGAAGGCGCTCGTCGACAAGTTCGCCGCCGACGGCGTCACCAAGAACGCCTTCCGGCCCCTCTTTGCCAACGACGTCTACCGCACCCAGGACTACTTTGGCCGCCTGCGGCCCGAGAAGCGCCAGCTGGCCGCCAAGGTCGCCAAGGAGGTCGACCCCAACGGCCTGTTCCGCGACAGGATGGGCGGGTGGAAGGCTTGATTGTGGGGGGGCTGATGTGTGGCAGGGGGTGGGGTGGTGGCTGCGTAAGGATGTATATTTAAAATGCTATTCGTAATGCAGATGACTGTTGATGATAATGCATCCATCTGTCCATCTTTGTTGCTGTTCTTCCCATCATGTTTGTCGTAAATCATCAGTGCTTCATGGCCGCCTCAAACAGGGCTCGCAGCTGCTCCCTCTCCCTCTCCAGCTCCGTCATGGCCAGCCCCGGCGCCAGCATCAGCACCCTGGCCTGCGGGATGGTGCCGTCGACCAGCTGGTCGATGTGCTCGGGGCGGAAGCCGAGCTCGGCCAGGCCGGCGGGCTGGTCGCCCAGGTCGTCGAGGAAGCGGGCGACGGCGTCGCCCAGGATCTCGCCGGCGCTCTCGCGCTTGGCGTTGGACACGTCGACGCCAAAGGCGGCGGCGGCCTCGAGGTGGCGTTCCGGGTTGGAGGGGCCCGTGAACCTGAACACGGCGGGCGCCGACACGGCGACGGACACGCCGTGCGGGATGATGGGGTGCGGCACCTCGTAGCCGTCGTGCTTGTAGCCCGGGTTCTGGCCTGAAATGGGGTACGACATGCCGTGGCACAGGTGCACGCCGGCGTTGCCGAAGCCGATGCCGGCCAGGGTGGCGGCGAGCAGCATCTCGCGCTGGGCCTCGGCGTCATCGGGGTCCCGCACGGCGCGAGGCAGGTACTTGACGGTGCTACGCAGGGCGCTCAGCGAGAAGATGTCGCTGATGGGGTTGGCGCCCTGGTAGGCAGGCCGGTTGATGGGGTTCTTGGGCCGCGGCGTGCGCTCCGTGTAGGGGATGGCGGTCCACGACTCGAGCGAGTGGCAGAGCACGTCGAGCCCCGAGGCGGCCTTGACGGCGGCCGGCATGGTGCGCGTGTTGAGCGGGTCGCAGATGCCCAGCGTCGGCTTGAGGTTGCGGTGCGCCACGCCCGTCTTTGCGCGGCGCGACTCGAGGTCGAAGATGGCCGTGCCCGTCGTCTCGGAGCCCGTGCCGGCCGTGGTGGGCACGGCGATGAGTGGCCTCAGCGGCTTGTCAACGGGCCTGCCGGCGCCCAGCGGCGCGTTGACAAAGTCGAGGAAGGGCGCGTCCGGGTAGCACGAGTACAGGTTCATGAGCTTGGCCGTGTCGATGACGGAGCCGCCGCCCACGGCCAGGAAGGCGTCCGGGTTGTAGGGCTTGACCCAGTCGATGGCCTCGCGGATCGAGCTGTCCTTGGGCTCGATCTTGACGCGGTTGAAGACCTCAAAGTTGACGCCCTCGCGCGCCAGGCTCTCGCGCACCTGCGACATGGCGTACAGGCGGTCGACCGTCTGGTCCGTGACGACGCACACGCGCTTGGCGCCCATGTTGCGCAAGTCCATGCCCACCTCCATGGTCACGCCCTCGCCGAAGCGGATGGACGAGGCCGCCATCTCGAAGGCGTACTCCTTGGGCTCGGCCGCGGGCGTGGCCAGGTGCCTGCGGGACAGGCGGCGCTGGTATGGGGTTGCCGCATTGCTCCTTTGGTGGTGGTGGTGGCCCGGGTTGGAGTGGCAGGGACACGAGGGCGGGTGGGTGTACTGGATAGTGCGCAGCAGGCTGACGGCTCTGGTCGCCGTCGAGGGAGCTGTTCTGATGGCCAGGCTCATGGTGTGTGTGGTGTGGTGTTTGCCTCGGTATTTGCCTCGGTACTAAGTTGTGTGTGATGGTAGACTAGAGACCAGACCGAAGCCAGACCGAAACCCGAGGCCAGACTGCTCGGCAATACATCACCACGCAGTGCTTCCACTCAGTGCCTCGGCCGGCCCTAACCTGCAGCGGCATCGGCGGCCAGCTCCAGGCTTGGCCTTGGAGCTTCCTCAAGCCCCGAGCTTACCCCGCGCTTTGAGACGCGAGCGATCAATGGCCCTGAAAAAGAACAAAAGCCCCATCCAGGTGGGGCGGGGCCCGTGTGCTGTTTGGAAGCTCAGCGGAAGAAAGGCACTGGAAGGGAAATTCCCCTTCTGTTTCGCTTGTTAGTGTTGCACTCACCCATTAGAAAATGTCATGACAGTCGGTCTGTGTGTTTGCGCAAGAATAGAACATCGAACCAGAACCGAACGTAGTAGTGCCATTCTGCTAAACACTCATCTTTCTCCATCAATTTGACTTTCTGTCGGCTTCGGAAGAGCAGTTCCAGAAACGCTGCCTGGGTCGGCCAAGCCGGCCACTGCCACCAACATCGCCCAGATTGGTATGGAACGCGCTCCATGATGCCGCATCCCGAGGCTGGCCACGCGCTGCAGGCCCTATTAGGCTTGATGCAAGACATCTCGGCTGGCCACGCGGCTGCAGGCCCTATTAGGCTTGATGCAAGACATCTCGGCTGGCTTGCGCTCAGTCCCGAGTGACGGAAGGCGACAGAAGGTGTGTAAAACCCTATCCATCACTCACCAGGCAAGTAGCTCGAACGGAGGCCATTCACGAAACCTCCAAGCTTGCATGCCGGGCAGCATACCTGTCACCGAGTAAACAAAACTGCCACGGAAGGAGCTCTGTGTCTCATTTCGCCAACGACCTCTGCGTCTTGGCATGGGAGACCTTTGCAAGACTGAACGATTCGTGAGCAGAGTAACACTGCCATTGGTTAGCCGAAGGACGGATGCATGGTTTGCATAATTCGCTGAGCCTTGACCAGATCTGCCCGTAGTGCAAGGGAACCTCGTCATAAAAGCACGCGCAACAGGAACAACATACGACGGAAACGCCAGAAGTAAATCTGGTCCGACGGGTTGAGTGCTGATGGCGTGGCCATTACTAGCGTCCCCGTCGCCTCGACCAGAGCCAGCCGAGCAGAGCTGCACGTCATGACTGGCACCTCAAAACAAATACTTGTTTGTGTACCGTCCAACGTCGGCCGCCGGACGCGAGAGAGCGGTGCATGGTTGTCGGCAAACGGTCTAGCCCACACCACGGCGGCCACGTGCATGGCTCGGTTGGCGACACACGGGCCTCAGGGGTCCATCGGCGCCCCTGGGTCACACCTTAGACGGGCAGCGCAGACCCCCTGACAGGTCTTATCTCAGGAGCCGGCGCTGGTATAGACATTGAAACATGTTGGATTTAGATGAGTGCATGCACCATAGAATGTCATGGCACAAGTGGGCTTGGTGCAACGCTCAAATGGATGATCTTCGCAGTGTAGAATATTCCGTCTAGTCTTCGGCCAAGATGTCAAAGAGCTGCAAAGCCCAATCTCGTTATCAGCAGGCACTTGGTACCGACGGCAGTAGGACGCCCCTCCCGTCGGGCCAGACCAGGGGGTACTCTGTTGATCCCTGTCAACATGGTGGTCCAAGCACGTGTGTTTCCTTTTGCGCAAGAACGAGGCGTGCGTGTGTGCGTGCCTTGCCGCTCCAACCGAGGCGTGGGGAGGCTAAGAACTCTGGGGGGAGTCAGGACAAAGTGCGAGAGGATCGGCTTGCTAGCAGCTAGCACGCGGTGCGGACCGCAGAATCACTAGACTAAAAAATGCCAAGCTGGGGTTTGGGCTCCAGAGTGCTCCATCGTGAATCCTCAGAAAAACCTGCTGGCCGCCCATGGTATAAACTGGAGCATCGATACGGTACTAAGCCCCATAGTTGATATAGCCAAACAAGTGTAGTAGTACAGCCTCCAAGCCGGTACTCGAGGCACGGCGCCATCAAACAGAAACCTCCAGGATATCGGCGTGGTGGCAGTCGCCTGGAAAAGTCGACGGCACGGTGCCATGCTGGGTGGGGGCGCGCAGCCAAAGCAGCAACAAAGTCGAGCGGGCGCCTGGGGCGGGGGGCGTGACAGCAAAGTCCGCCTACCCTCCTCTACTTTCCTGGCGAGTCGTGCACTCGCATCCTGGGGCCAGGGCGATGCGTGTCGGGGGCCCGTGATCGAACTGGGGCGGACAGAGGAGGGAGTCCCTTTTAATACCCAGATGGCTTCGCTGATGCCGTCCTCCAAACCATGAGGCTCTCTCGTGTTGGTGCGCCATCGCCATCGCCATCGCCATCACCACCAAAGGCCTCGCAGCAGGCCAAGGGATTCAGCCAGCCAGACTATCCCCGATATTGGCCAGCCGACGAGAGAAAACGAACGAGCCACCCGACCGACGATCGAAGCCGGAGGAGCACCGGCCAACACACATCATGTTCCTGTCCCCGATACTCGTGGCCGCCGGCCCCAACGGGCCAGCCATGATGCCGCCGCCGGGCGTGACGCCGCAGTTCAACGGCCCCAAGAACGAAAACCCGCTGGCGTGGGGGGTTATGATCACCTGCACCATCATCACGGCCATCTGCGTATTCCTGCGCTTGTATGTGCGGACGTGGTGGGAGAGGAGGCTGCACAAGGAGGAAGGTAAGGAAATTAGACGCACAGGAACGGGCCTACTTACTTACTCCTCCTGAAAAAGTTTGAGCTGACACATACATGTCGTTGGCGCCCAGTCTTGACCCTTCTGTCGTTTGCCGCCTTTCTCGGCACGGCGTACTCGGGCTACTCCTTCACATGGTCGCCGGGGTACTACGTGCACCAGTGGGATCTCCGGATCCGCGACCTGCCCGAGGCGTACAGCCTCATCCTGCTCTACGCCAGCTTCTACTCCGTGTCGTTGCCGCTCGTCAAAACAGCCATCCTGCTCGACTGGTCGCGAGTGCTGGTAGTGTCTGAGCGCCGACGCAACCCCTTCTGGTGGGCCTGTATCGTGCTGAGCGCGATCCAGTGTATCTGGGGCACCATCTGCACCATCTTGATCAACCTCAACTGCAGCTCCGGGTCCAACACGCCCAAGTGCTTTGACCTCTCAGAGCTCATGTTGATCTCGTCCATCGTGCAGGTCGTCACCTCTTTCGCCATGGTGGTGCTGCCGCAGCGCATCATCTGGAACCTGCGTCTGACTTGGCGCAAGAAGCTGGGCGTTTCCGTCATCTTTGGGGTTGGCATGATGTAAGTTGAAAGCTGATACGACAAGCGATCGTGTGAAGACGGATGACGGGCAAGTGGCTGACAATACGGCAAACAAAACAGTGCTTGCGGTGCTGCTTGCTTCCGCCTGATCGAGACCGTACGCTACACGCGCGAGGAGGACCACACCTACTACATCAGCCCGCTCTTCTTCTGGACCTGGGGCGAGCTGACGGCAGGGTTCTTCGTGCTGTGCGTTCCCAGCGTGGCCAAGATGGCGGCCGAGACGCAGCTGCCCGGCCGGATCCGGCGCTCGCTCGGAAGGTCCCGCAACGGCAACAAGCAGAGCGACGCCGAGGCTGGGACGGGAGAGGAAAAGGGCAACGGCACGGTGCTCGTGACCATCGGGGGCGGATCGGAGACCAGCAAGAACAGGCTGTCGCGGCTGGTGACCGAGTCAACACAGCAGCTGCGCGGGGGCAAGGAGACCGCCGTGAGTGGCGGCCCCGAGGGCGACAGCAACGGCACCAGATACAGTCGTGACAGGGGCAGCCGTGAGGGGGCCAGCCGTGACGGGGGCAGCACCAGGAGCGACGCGAGAGGGAGCGGCGGCATCGTCGTCACCCGCGAGACCAAGGTCACGGTCGAGCCAGATCCCATCAAGGAAGGGGGGTGGAAGGGCAGGTGTGATGTGACGACAAAACGGCCGTGGGAGAATGTGCCCAAGAGAGAAAGGAGTTGAGGGGCAGCGGACAATGACGCAACGAATGTACGCACACGACGTCGGGAAATGGAGATAGTGAAATGTATCAGATACCCCCTTGACGCTCGTCAAGGAAGCACAGCAGACATGAATCCCCAAGGCCATGTTGGTGTTTCCGAGTATCGATTAACCCGTCATCGGACCTGTCATCGAATCGAGGGGATAGCTGAGCCAAGGTGAGCGAAACCTCAGACAGACAAGGTGGGAAAAAGTGTGTAAAAATGCGTATGCGTTGCATATAGAACGCATACGCATTTTTGAAACAATAATATATTTTATATCCGTTTTATATGCGCTTTGTATATACATTATATATGCAATTAATT